ATGGTTGTTAAAGAAGAAGGGAGAAAAACATTATAACACTCCAGAATAGCTTTACACTGAAACTTAATATTTACATTTCTAAATATCTATTTATAATTTTATATATTTGAATTGTCTGTTTGTTTGTATATAAAAACAGCTGAACCGATTTTTGTGTGTCTTTCTCAGTCTAGAGTCACTATTAAAAACTCTTGACTCCAAAAAAATTGAGTAAATCCGTTAAAATAAAAGCAATAAAATTTTAGACATTTTTTATTTGATAATTTTTCAATTATACAGAAGATCAACAACTAAAAGCTAAGATAATACCTCGGACACAGGGATGCTGAGTGCATTGTGTAAATTAAGTACATATACATAATTTAAGTATTAATGAGACCGCAGCTTGATATTTGCACTATCATATATATATTATGCAAATATTTTGGAATAATTTAAACAAATGCAGTGCTTTGTGAAAGCAAGCAAACCAGTTAACTGCTATACAACTATACAATTGCAGATATTAACATTTAAACTATTTAGTGCAAAAATTGTAAAATTTCTAAAATCCGCTTATATGAACCATAAAACCATTCTTCGGAAAAAAGATTCTTAAAACTTTGATTTTACAATGTAAAAAGTTGGTATAAAACTCTACAGAATTCCAGTAAGCAGATATTATTTTTAATACGAGATTTGCATACAGAATTAAATAGAAATTAAAGGGACTGTAAGCATAATTTCAAGTGGCCCTCCATGTAAAGATTAAAATGCCGGATTTACAAAACCTAAAAGCTTTGTCCGATCAAGTATGAATAAGATGTGGCCATGTTTTTGTTTCTTTAAACTGTTTATTTTCATTTGCGGTTTCTCTGCAAAAGTGACTTGCGCATTTCTTGCTCATAAGAAGCAACGAAGAAATCAGACACTTTTCGAATCTAGAAAACGACGGAATCTTTCACACTTTTGATAAGATTTAGGTTCAAGGGTACCGTTGTAAATCGGGCATTGCCATCTTAACATGGAGGGTAACTTTAAAGTACATTTACAATCGATCTATTTAAACAAAATCATGGGCAAGTCGGTACAAAAAGTTGGTGTACGAAACGATTTCATGTATTATTGACAGCTTATAAGTCTTCTCATTATAGTAGAGTTTTCTAATTACAGGGTCTGTGTCACGTAATCTCTGGTGGTGACCCTCAATTTATAAAGTTTCTTGTACGAATCACATTCGTCTGGTGTATGCAACTTTTACAAAAAAATCAAATCACAAATAAACTAAAAAAAACAAAATTATCTTTTTAATTATTTTCTCAGACTGAGAAAGATAAAGTAGTGTTGTAAATATATCGTTTAATATAGAAACTATTTTCACATTCCCTTTATGGTAAAATATTGTTGTAAATAATCAGCTGTTTGGATGGATACAGATTTGTATTAATCCTCAACTCCTTTGTTTATTTGTTTGTTTGTTGATTTTAAAGTTTTAGTTTTTTAAATTGAACTCTTTTTTGTTTCATTTCAGGATTAAACTTTAAACAATGAGAACATAAAGAAAATAGTTTTAACAATTGTTTATTTAAACTTTTGTTTGAAAAGGAATAAATAAAAACTTTTTAACTTTTTACCACTCAGATAAAAATATTTACAGTTTAACCAGTAGACAGTTGACATTTTTTCTGCACTTTTTGAAAAAAAATTACAAATGGAGGTATAAAAAACAATTCTCAGAAATTAAAACAAGGACTTATGTGTTAAATACATTTATTGTAGACTTTCTTTTGAATAACCCCTTTTCTGTACATCCAGCGAGACAGAGCTCTAGAAAATGTTGAATATATAATGTGAGCTAAAGTTAGTTAGTTCTCTCTAGAATACACTTCTCTTCTATTTTTCTTAAACAAAGTTTCAAGATTTGAGTTTAGTTTCTTAGTTTCCTAATTTGGTAAGTATGTAAGTATTCAACTTTAATTTATTTTTTATTCTAAACAATGTCTAATGTAATTTGTAAAATAGGATGCAAGAAAAATGGTTTCATTACCCGTTGAAAGTTGTCTGTTTTTTTTTGATGTGGAGAATTCCTAATTTTTCTTTCTAAAAATTGACAATGGGGTCGCAACTACCGTGTATCCGTATATTTGATTCATGTTCCAATAAATGCATTTTATATATTTTATATAAATGCATTTAATAACAATTAAGGGGAACACTGATAAAAAATAACAATTAAAGAAACTTCATTTACTTTTATTATTATATGACATATCTAAACCTGCATCAAGTACACCTTTGATATTTCAGTTAATTAATTCTGAAGATCAAGTATTGAAGATGATAAGATAACGATAATTTCATGTCATCAGAATTTGGATAAAACTTTAAACTCTAAAGTTCAACAATGGTCGAACAGACCCGGAACTGAACCAGGAAGGATTGTCTCAGTACGAGCATATAAAGAAAGGGTTCACCCCGAACTAAACAGAGAGAGAAGCATTCGGTTTCTTTTATTTGAAATCAAATGTGTTTTTGTCAATATTTTTACAATCTTTAAACTTCTGGATTTGTTTATTTTATACTTTTTTATTCAAAATGTATATGCAAACAAAAAAAATTATTTAAAATTATGTATAAGGGGATAAATTATGATCGAAGGTCACAGCGTTCAGAAATATTGACAGAACCGCGATAAATCTACGTGGGTTGTGGAAATACACCTTGCGGGGCTTACTTTACTATACAATTAGCTCTATATGTTTTAGTATATATCATCTACAATAAAATATGCAATAGTATCTTTTGTTTAGTTTAGTATGCCAATCTTTTCAGATACTCACAATTCCTCAACTTTTTATGTCTGCACTGTCCACTCAACGCTTCTATATATTCACAATCTCAGATTTTCTTATCCGTATATTTTTGCTGCCAAAGGTTGTAGACCTTTGATATTTCAAACTATTAGTTCCGTTAGATCAGATAATCTAAGTTTGAAATATCAATTGTTTTGAAGAATTGTGATGTATATACATTGTATAATAATAATTTTAAAAGTGAATTTTTAGCTGCAAACGAGAAATACTTTAAAATCTTATTGTATCCAAAACTTAATTTACTTAATTGAACAAAAAAGATTTAGAAAATAAAAACCATAAATTTTATCAATTTTTATTCGACATAAAATGAACTTTTCTATACAATGTTCACAAAAAAATACAGTATTCAACAACAATGGAAATTTGGTGGAAAATTTAAAAGTAAAAATAAAAACAATGTTTGAAAAATTTCCACCAAATTTCCCTAAATCACAGATAAAAGCTTAATTACAGGGATCTTTGTTATATAATTAATGAGAGAAAAGAATAGAATGAATTATTACTGCAACCAGATTTTCTAGTTTTAGTGCTATTAAGCGGCCACATGTCTGCCTTGTTAAAACGCACATTATTTTGTGCAATTATTTAAAGTTTATTTTCTAAACCTACTTATTACAAATAACAAAATATAAAATTTGTAACAAATGCAAAAAAAGATCTAATTGTGTAAAAGGAAATTTTTCTAAATAAATAATTTTATATACATAATTATCATTCTAGTTTTTAATGTGGTTTCATTTGAATAGTATCACAAGTTGTAGGTATGACTAGAGAACGCTAAAAAACTAAAAGAACTCTTCTGCAAAACTGAAATTAGTTGACAAACAATGATACAGATAAATATTATAAAATTTTCTCAAAGATTGTTGTGAATCTCCATTTAAAAGTGCTAAAACCTGTTAAGGTTCCGGCCAGAACTAATTTTAAAATGTTTATCCAAGATTATGTTTATACCTATCGTAATTTATCTATCTATTAAATTTGCTGAAGGTCTTTCCGACATTTATCAATTTGTTTAAAACCCACAACATTTATTCTCTTCAATAGTTTACTAACTTTCTATCTATCAATCTATCATAAAAACGACCGGAATTGGTTTTTTTTTTGCATGGTTACACTGGCAACCATGAAACCTTACACCCCATGTAGTGCAAACAATGAAAAGTTTTGTTAAAAATCTAGAAAAGTTAAAAAATAAAAATTTTAACTTTACAACCAATCTAATTCCTGCGGTTTTTTCATTTTAAGGAACAATAAGTATAAAACACAACTTAAACTATTTACTTGTTGGTAGAGAGTTTAGACTAGGGATTCCAACGCAACAGATTTTACTTTCGAGCAATTGCAAGCCCTAAATAATTCCACGAAATTCCATTAAATTTCACACAATTCCAAACTGCGCGATTCCATGCAATGGAATTCCAGTGCTTTTAATATCTCTAGGACCAAATAAGATCGGGAAATAACGTATTGGAAAAAATATCGGCGCATGGAAAACCTATCATTGTAAAATCTATTAAATATAGACCTATGATCAAGCGGTACATTGTACAATCTATTTAATATAGACCTATGATCTAGCTGTACATTGTAAAGTCTATTTATTATAGACCTATGATCTAGCTGTACATTGTACAATCTATTTAATAGACCTATGATCTAGCTGTACATTGTACAATCTATTTATTATAGACCTATGATCTAGCTGTACATTGTACAATCTATTTAATATAGACCTATGATCTAGCTGTACATTGTACAATCTATTTAATATAGACCTATGATCTAGCTGTAAATTGTACAATCTATTTAATATAGACCTATGATCTAGCAGTACAGTGTACAGTGTACAATCTATTTAAAATGGAAAGATATTTTTTTGCTACGTCTCAGATTCTGAGCAGTCTTCTTTTGAAGATATTTTAATTCATGTCTTTTATTTTTCAGGGTCTTCATTCTTCGATGTCTCAATCAATTTCTAAAAGCAAAAATTGCAAATGAAAAATTTAATTTTTTTTAATTGAAGGTCTGTATTAGGGGCCGGTGGTGCGTATTATAACTACCTTCAGTAATTTTTTTACCCAAAGATTTTATTAAAAACGATTTTTCAAGACATTGTATTGAAAACAAATCTTTAAGTTGATATCATTGGTAGAAGTACACTCTGCAGAAGAATTTAGTATTTACAAACTCCCCTGTTCCCTTCCACTAAAATATTTTTTTAGGTTTTTTGAATATTCAAATCTTTATGTATTTTGCTTGGCTATTTGTTTGTTTGTTTTTAACTAATAAACGTCAAAAAGGCTGAACCGAAAGGGCCCAATTTTTTGCGGGACCCCACACAATCCCAGGGAATGTTCATGGGTTGTTAGAATTTAAAAAAAATGTTGCCTAAAAAAAAATTTCGATTTTTCAAATTCCACAAAAAAAGTGAAAAAGAGCAACAATTAAAAGTAAAAGATGGACGCAAAGCGCCCTGCAAGCATTGTAATTTAAAGTTCTCTGTATGAGAGTGACAAGTGCTTGCATTACACTGTAGGAGAGTGACAAATAGTTGCATTATACTGTATGGGAAAGTGACAAGTGCTTGCATTACACTGTAGGAGAGTGACAAGTGCTTACATTACACTGTAGGAGAGTTACAAGTGATTACATTACACTGTTTGAGAGTGACAAGTGCTTGTATGACACTGAAGGAGAGTGAAAAGTGCTTGCATTACACTGTAGGAGAGTGACAAGTGCTTGCATTACACTAAAGGAGAGTGACAAGTGCTTGAATTACACTATAGGAGAGTGACAAGTGCTAGCATTACACTGTAGGAGAGTGACAAGTGCTTGCATTACATTATAGGAGAGTGACAAGTGCTTGCATTATACTGAAGGAGAGTGACAAGTGCTTGAATTACATTAGGAGAGTGACAAGTGCTTGCATTAAACTGTAGGAGAGTGACAAGTGCTTCCATTACACTGTAGGAGAGTGACAAGTGCTTGAATTACACTGTAATCTGAAGATTATTCATTATTCATGAAAGATCTAGAAACGGGTTAACACATATCACTGGCCCGTTGGATGCTATTTGTAAACATGTTCTAAGAAATAATCTTCTCAGAACAACTTTTTTCCTTTGTTAATGTATGTACTACAAATCAGAGAAGATATTTGGGCGTACATCGAACCGCAGGTAACACTTTAAATGTGATTAAGTTAGGTATTCTGTGTGTGTGTGGCCCTTTCTGACTGACTCTGGGGCTAGTTTGCTTAGATTAATAAAATTTAGGACAACAATAACGTTTAAATTGGGAAAATTTTATGAAATGGAAGTTTTATTATTTTTTTCTTGTTATTCAGTTCATAAGGTTATGCATGATAATATTTATATATATATGCAAATATACATCTGATATGTAAAACACAGATTATTCTTTCATATGAAAATGTACAGATTTGTAATAAGGGACGACTGTACAGTGTACAGTATACTCCTAGATATATGATAGTATATATATGTAAGTGTAGACCACTGTACAGTGTAAATTATACTCCTAGATATATGATAGTATATATATTTTCTAAGTGGGGACCACTGTACAGTGTACAGTATACTTCTAGATATATGATAGTATATATATGTAAGGAGGATTGAGGACAAATACGGATCATTAACTATCCAATCAACAAGAGTCCTACAATACATACAATACATACAATAACAAGAGAACAAGAGAAATCAAGGAAAAGACCGGAAGTAAATTATGCAGAGAAACCCGGAAATGCAATGTACAGCCGATATCACGTTTTTGACAGTTCTTCTTCAACACTCAGGATAAATATAGAAGTAGATTTTGTTTAACGTTTAGTATGCAGTAAAGTAATAGTTCTGTAGAATCATCTAAAGAGGACTTGAAAGTGTAAATGTACACTAAAGGTAATGGTAGGTATGTATTTCCATTTTGATTTAAACATTTTTCATTTTTTAAGTGTGCTTCTTTGTCTCCATGCTGTTTTTGAGAAACTTTTTTCCGTAAGTTTTTGGATAAAAGCCCGAGTAGCCACTTAAAATGTTGTTGTGGAATTTTAATCTTAATATTATAGTTCACATTTTGTGTAAAATATTTGACTATTTGCGAGGAATTTTTATTAAAATTCTTTACAAAGAGTTTAGTCAACTGGTGGTATATGTCTGCATTGTGTGGAGTCGTTTACCATGTTCAAACTTTGCTCTTGGACTTGAAACTTAATACAGAGTATTAATATTAAACCCAGTTTCGGAAACCTGGCTTCTTTAAAGAAGTGAAGTAATTTTTTGTTAAACCAATATTTTCTATTAATAAATGGTACATTCACATTCAGGATTTGCTGACTATTATCTGTTTTATTTTATTGATATCCATACAAACTCAAAACTCAAAACAAACTAAAAGGTTTTGCTCATCGATACTCTTAAATTTCCCTGTATGGTGACGGGTAACAAATTATTTTAACACATGAAAGTATTACAATACACTGTGTGCTTTAAGCTACACTTAACTTCAAGGCAGCAGCTGAATATATTTACTAGGAGGGAAACTATTAATTCACCTGAAAGTATTCATTGTATTTGTCGTCGTCTTTGTCTAGTTGATGAAGGTACGCGGCAAGTGCTTCTGGATCCTTGAACTGATCCACGTGGAGAAATGATTTCTCTGGGGCAGCGCGCAAGTAGTCCTCGTACCGAGCTCCCATTGCAATAGGCAGCACATCATGCCTTTATAATAATACAGTACAGTGCATTACAGTGCGTAATTTATTCATAATTACAAATAGAATTATATAAAACTTGAAAGAGGCTAAGATTACAAATTTGTATAGTAAAAAATCAGTGTCTTTGTCCAAGGGCAGGGGGGTTGGGGATGGGGAGGGGGCAATCCTTACAGCTTTCCATGAGGGGGCTGACCCCAATCACCACCCTCTATATACACTTCTGCAAGGAAGATATTCTAAAAGCACAATATAGATGAAAAAGTTGCTAACTTGCTGGGCATTTTTTGGCAGCAAACAATTCCAGTAAAAGAGTAATACCAACGATTGACATTCAATATATTTCCTCTTTGCTTATTGCATTTTTGCTTTATGTATCTATTTTCATTTTCTGATTATTCTAATGCACTGAAGAGATCTTGAGTGCTTTTAGATTGAGCCTGGTGCTTGCTCGATTAGCTAGATAGATTTATCAAAAAGGAGTAATTTTTATTCACACTATTTTTAATATTATTCCTGTTGACAGAAATTACCTTATTTATCAAGGGAGAATTTGAATATAAATAGAATGTTGTAATATATGTATACAATATTGTTAAAATTAGTATTCTACGACCATATTGGGAAATAATATTAGATGTATTCTGAATACAGTATCTTGTTGCTAAATTTAAATACTTCTAAAATTCTAAACTTTAAACTATTTGTTCAAAATATTAGCAGCAGAGATTCGTGGGATCAGTAATACAAAATTTACAATTTACAATTTACAATTTACATCCAAGTAGAAGATGAAAGGCAAATTACTTTTACTAATTAACCAGCATAATAATCATAGAAAGTAATTATCTTAAAAAGGGGTTGTTCACTGTACAAACATAGAGGTCTTTATCTTTTCTATTTATCTGTATGCATGCTTTGTATGGCGGACATAAAAACGACTAAACCTGACGAGCCCAAATTTGTCATGGCAACTCACATAACCACGGCCAGGGAAGGTTTATGAACAGTCAAAATTGAAAATATTTGCGAGAGTGATAAAATAGGGACATTTAAAGACATTTAATTGCCAAGTTTTCTTGTAATGTCAGAAGATCTGAACTAAATTTTGTTTAGCAACACAAATATATTTGATTACACTTTAAATATTAAGAAAACTAATTTTACACATTGCAAAAATTCTATCTTTTTATCTTTTTAAAATTGATAATATTAAATCAATTTCAATTAATATTATCATTTTAAAAATTGTTTTTGTTGTTAATTATCCTTTTATATTTGCAAAGAAACTTGTATGCCCTAATAAATCCAAAGCGTTTAGTACATTTACTAGAGATAATCTTTTTTAATAAATAACCTTGCTTTATTTATAAATTCAAAATTGTTTTATTAATAAATAAAAAATCGATTTTTTTGTAAAAATTAGTCTTTTCTAGTTTCTGAGAGGGTTCACATCAAATATTCGTTGTTACAACATAAAAAGAGTGTTAAAAAAAAACACTTTACACTTTTCTCTTTCACAGGCTTATTTTTATCAGAATGAAATTAATATGACAATGTCTACAGGATGTTAGGACTACATGGTTTAAAAATTAATATTACAATGTCTACAGGATGTTAGGACTACATGGTTTAAAAATTAATATTACAATGTCTACAGGATGTTGGACTACATGGTTTAAAAATTAATATTACAATGTCTACAGGATGTTAGGACTACATGGTTTAAAAATTAATATTACAATGTCTACAGGATGTTAGGACTACATGGTTTAAAAATTAATATTACAATGTCTACAGGATGTTGGACTACATGGTTTAAAAATTAATATTACAATGCCTACAGGATGTTAGGACTACATGGTTTAAAAATTAATATTACAATGTCTACAGGATGTTAGGACTACATGGTTTAAAAATTAATATGACAATGTCTACAGGATGTTAGGACTACATGGTTTAAAAATTAATATTACAATGCCTACAGGATGTTGGACTACATGGTTTAAAAATTAATATTACAATGCCTACAGGATGTTAGGACTGCATGGTTTAAAAATTAATATGACAATGTCTACAGGATGTTAGGACTACATGGTTTAAAAATTAATATGACAATGTCTACAGGATGTTAGGACTACATGGTTTAAAAATTAATATTACAATGTCTACAGGATGTTGGACTACATGGTTTAAAAATTAATATTACAATGCCTACAGGATGTTAGGACTGCATGGTTTAAAAATTAATATGACAATGTCTACAGGATGTTAGGACTACATGGTTTAAAAATTAGCGGATTTGGTCAACACTGCAGATATTAATTTCATTATGATCATAGAATAATTAAGCCTGTGAGAGAAAAAAGTGTAAGGTTTTTTTTCATACCCTTTAGTTACAAAGATCTTGTATTAAATGCCCCTCTTCTTTTTAAATCCCTCACCCTAGCAAAGTGAGTATTGCAATAATGTAAAAGAAAATGATATTTATTATCTGCGTGATATAAGTATGTTGTTTTCAGATCAATAATGGGATATCCAATATACAATCCTTATACAAGGAAATAGAGAGTAGAGGTAATTAAACTTTTAGTCAATACAAGGGGAATTTAAAACTACATCATGCTCTAACCACTACATTGCTTTACTTCTAGTAAATACAGGAGAAATAGTTAAAAACTACATCATGGTCTAAACCCCTACATTGTTTTTACTTCTAGTAAATACAGGGGAAATAGTTAAAAACTACATCATGATCTAACCACTACATTGTTTTACTTCTAGTAAATACAGGGGAAATAGTTAAAAACTACATCATGATCTAACCACTACATTGCTTTACTTCTAGTAAATAAAGGGGAAATAGTTTAAAACTACATCATGATCTAAACCACTACATTGTTTTACTTCGAGTAAATACAGGGGAAATAGTTTAAAACTACATCATGATCTAACAACTACATTGCTTTACATCTAGTAAATACAGGGGAAATAGTTAAAAACAAGGAAATACAATAAAAAATGGAAAACACGTCCAACAAATTATATAGATTGTCACGTGTTACAGCTCTCCAATCGTGTATAAATATGCCTCAATGTTCGATAGTTTTAAAATATCTATTTTCTGAGGTTTCAGCTTGTTTCCAATATTCAATATTTATTATTTATTAAAGATATAAAGACTAGGGTTTATATGCAGGTATTAAGCTATCCTATAAAATTATCCATTTTCTAATGTCTTGACTGAGTTTGCAGGTTTAAGAAAATTAAATGAAAAAAAAACTTTTACAAATTAATTTTATGTTGCAATTAGAAATTCATAGGTTTATCATTCTACAATCTACATATTTTTTGATAAAGCATGAGTACTCAATTAAAATGGCTTAAATTTAATCCCTCATTGTTTTGACAAAAAAATGGCACCTGATTTAAAGAATTATTTGTACTGTATTTGATTCAAATCTATCTAGACGAGCAATCAACTCAAACTAATCTCTTCAAGGGGGTTTAAAGGTAAAATGAAAGGTAGTTTTGGGCTAAAGCCTCGACATTTTCTGAGAAATTATTACAAAACTGTATCCAAGTTATTCGAAAACTTTAATATACCTTAACAGCCCCTTTAAGTATTTTCTGGAGAGGCTAATATATATATATATTTTGTCTTTTTTTTAATATGTAATAAATAAACCATAAACTTTCTTTTATTGAATTTTCTCTGCAGCGACTATGGACCAGGAATTATATTGGATATTTAAGATTTGTGGTGAGTGAAGTAATTTATCCTTGAATATTTATGTTGTTTAAACATCGAAATTGTAATACTAAAAGTCCATTCATTTATAATTTGACAAATTTGTGGGAAAATGTTGGTTAAAGGGTACATATTGTCAATTATGCCTACAGTTCCTGTAAACTCTCTGATTTCCAAATTTCCTTACCCTAGTCCGTTGACGAAGAACTTCTCTGTGATGTAGTCCTTGCAGTTGCTGTTCTCGAATGCGAGGTAGAACTTGTAATCAGTGTTCAACATGTTAAAACATTTAGAGCTCTCAGCTCGGGGACATCTGCAATATTTATTCATTTATTTAATTTCGGATACAAAAGTTATGGCGTATATAGAGACCGAATTTAATGAACTGCCAAACGCCATTACACATTTTAAACACCGATTCAAACCTTAATTTGAATCGGTGATTCAAATTGGAATCGACAGTAGATGTTACGGCGCCCTATGTTCAATTATTGAATATTTTATAGGAAGTTATTTGTAAAGTTCTTTGCAGGCAACCTTTAACTTTAACAGAATTAGACTAAAGTGAATAAGTTTAAAAGAGAGAATGTATTAATTAGCTCTTTTAAAACGACTGAAACTAGTTTTATTTTAAAAACCTTGATAAATGTAAACATTTAAAAATGACTGGAAGGTTATCTGATTTTTCTTTAATTGTACCTTTCCGTTCCACAGGCTCCGTATATATCTACATTGATATATTTAGATAGTTCTCTGGCATACTGCAGTCTTTCATTCCTAAATTAGGCAAACATGAAGATAATTTAGAATCAGGGGCAATGCTTGTCCCTTCCCTTGATAGGGAAAGAATTGAACACCCTTCCCACAAACTCAAATTTTCTTATTTTCCTGTAATTGAAACGTAATTTCAAATACCTTTTATTAAATTAGAGTTTGTTTATGTTTTCGGTTACTTTGAACCATTTAAATATTCTACCAATCTAACATCGTTAATAATGACAATTAAATTTCCAACAAACATAAATTTTTCCATCTTTATTCCCAAACATGAGGAACATGTATTTGCAAATATTAGAAGTTTTCTATTGTATTATTCGTGCACTTGTTCTAACATTGTTCTAACATTGTTCACATTTAGTGCTTTGAACCGTGTCTGATATTCAATAAAAGTTTTATGAATTGTTCAAATATTTGGACTTTCATTTTATATTTTGCATATTTTGCATAGTTCACAGATTTCAGTTTTGAAGAGAAATAATATATATGTGATTGGTTTTCTGCTTATGTACAGTTATGTCTTTTTTAATGATTCTGGTGTATTGACAATAAATTAATCAAGGGTTGCCAAAAAATGACCTAAGGTTAAGCTTTGATTTTATCGAGGTTGACTTGAGGTTGACTTTTGATTGACCTGAGGTTGACCGTCGATTGACCTCAGGTTGACCTTTGATTGACCAGATGCAGGACTTTGATTGACCTGAGGTTTCCCAAAAATGAACCTAGACTTGCCTTTGATTTCATCGAGGTTAACTTAAATTGAACGAAGACTGACCGTCTAATGACCCAGGTTAACGTTTTATTGACCCGGCCACGTTTGACTTTCGATTGACCTTTGATTGACCCAAGTTTGACTATTGATTGATTGATTTTACCTGGCTCCGCAGTTTGAGACGAACCATGCAACTTGTTTAGTTTTATTGGCTGCATAGTTTCTTTTCTGCTCAATACTTTTCACATTACTGTTATAGTACTGCCATCTTTCATACGGTGCAACAACTGTACTATCAGACCTAATACAAATATAAAATATATATAATTAAATTATACATATTATAAAAGGTAGCAACTCTGTTCGTCTGTTTGTCTGTTTGGATGTCAGAACCATAACTCTGGAGCCCCTTGTCAGATTTGCATCAAATTTTAATTGTGGAATTGAGTAATACCACGGGAATGTTCTTAGGTTGGTTTGAAAATTCTAAGTTGAGAGGGTTGACTTTTATAAGGAAAGCTTATTTTCCAGGGAAAACTGGGTTCCCAAGCTAGTGGGGAAATATATTTGTCTGATAATAACTCATGAACCTCTTGTTCGATATGCCAGAAAATTTGACAGCTTGGGGACTCGTTTGTCAGAAGGAAATGTTCTTCCTTCTTAGCCTGGTTAAAACATTGAAGGGGTGTATTTTTATAAGGAAATTTGTATTTCCAGGCACGGCTGGGTTCTAATATAATATAAAGCAAACTATCTTGGGAACCCAGCTTTGCCCGGAAGGAAAAATTTCCAGATTAAAGTAAACCTGATCCGCTAAGAACCAAGCTAAAAAAAATTCCCCATGGTTCTACCGAGTTTACAACTCAAAAATGGTCAGAGATACAAACAAATTAACAAAAGCACCCAAACAGAGATTACTACATATATGTATATATAGATGAGATTTATATACAAAAAAGATATTCTCTAATATTGATATCAAAAAGAATACACTCAATTGTATGTATGCTTAGCTTACATCGCAAATACATTACTCAGTTATAAAACAATGACAAACATTGAATAAAATCAATTCGAAAACTTAAAGTTTTTATTCTTTGAATAATTTGTCAAACATGTCAAAAACAAGATTGTCAAAGTCCAATTATACATTTTATCTGCATCTATATAGCTATCGAATATATTGAGATGATAAGGCATACAAGTATTGTATTTTGTAATAGTAAACTCATTAAAGGGAGTGGCCGGCTATGTAAGGAAGTTGAACTGAGTATGCAGTGTTGTGGAAAACTTCTTTCGGATTCATTTGAGACATATTAAACTTTTTAAAGATCTGTAAATCCTGAGTTAGAGCGCAAATTCGACGTTCAAAACTCCTACTTTGGAGATGGATACGTTTTCAGAATTAGTTGTTTTACTCTGACTATCTGATCTAGCAAAGTTCTTTGTTTAAAATTATCAAAAAACTACTACATCAGGTTACGAACATGATTAAAAATAAGTACTTTTAAAACATGAAAAGTCTACTTTCAAGAAATTAATGATGAAATAAAGTAAGAGATACAGGAATCTCCCTGGATTTCTTGTGACATATCATTAATATGCAATCAATATACATAACAGTATGATAAATGAACTCCCTCACATGTATATTATAGTGTTAATTATATTTACCTGTAGGTGGCAGTCCAATTAAATATATCCTGTTCCCGAAATATTTGTGTGTGCAGGGGGCATTCTAAAATATATATTTGTAAGGTGGCATACTAAAATATATCTTTGTAAGGGGGCATTCTAAAATATACATTTGTAAGGGGCATTCTAAAATATATATTTGTAAGGAGGCATTCTAAGATATAAATATATATTTGTAAGGGCCCATTCTGAATATATATTTTTAAAGGGGCATTCTAAAATATATGGTTGTCAGGGGTTATTTTTAAATATATTATATTAAAACAAAATATTCACACTTTTTGAAATTTTTCCGATTTTTCGATATTATGGAAAAAATGTTAGAATTATCTTCTTTGAATTTTGAGGTAAATCTAACCTAGTAAGTACAGCATCCATATTTGGTTTGAGGTAAATCTAACCTAGTAAGTATAGTATTCATATTTGGTTTGAGGTAAATCTAACTTAGTAAGTACAACATCCATATTTGGTTTGAGGTAAATCTAACCTAGTAACATATTTGGTTTGAGGTAAATCTAACCTAGTAAGTAAAGCATCCATATTTGGTTTGAGGTAAATCTAACCTAGTAAGTACAACATCCATATTTGGTTTGAGGACCGAAGCATGCTTGGCGTTGAGAAATGATCCTAAATAACAAATTGTTAATAAAAGAAAATATAAAAAGAGATTGCTGAGAGCACAAATAATAAATTCAATTTACAATACAGTAAAAGCATTTTATTTTCTAGATCACTAAAAGCAATATCAATCTCCCACAAAATATTTCATCCAAATTTGGAATTAACAAAGAAATTATTTAAACCTTATATTTCAAACTATGAATACTGTTAGATTAAATAACATAAGTTTAAAAGGTTTACACCACCAGATTCCAAAGATATAGGGACTAAGAAACTTATATTGTGATTTCATTTCGTGATTTTAATTACGCTACAAAAGTAGTTATGACTAGAAAATGTTTACTAGGTAATTTTTATATATTTTTGGATTTAATAGATATGTTCGGCGGCCTTTTTAAAAAAGGTAAAATATTTAAGATTGAACTAATTTATTATTCTTTCAAAGCATAAAATATATTGAAGTTTGATTTAATTAGAAAAGTTGAGGAATCTCTAACAGAATTTATGATCTAAAAAAACACAATAATGGAAAGAACAGATAAAATATTTTTGGAACTTTCTAGAATACCACACGGGCAGCTGTAGTACATTTGAATTTCCGAGCCGGGTCAATTTTTCCGGTCCCAGTTTGTACCGTACCTAGCGCTATGGACAGGACTAGCCGGTGCAACAAGGTTGGCGCGGTCAGACTTTATGCTTCATATAGGTTGAATTTACATGTACTAAAGGGGCAGAGGTGCTTGACCAGAGTACACGGGTTCTATATAGTCTTCCAAAAGGGACTGTAAGAGTATATTCAAGTGCAATATCCATGCAAAGATGGCATTGGCATTACCTGATTTACAATGATACCCTTGAAACTGTAATATAATCTAAATTTGGAAGACTCGAAAAGCGTTTAATTCTGATAATCACCTCATTTTGTCTTATAAACAAGAAATGCTAAAGTCACTTACTTTTGCAGCGAAACCACAAATGAAAGAAAAAAAACTGTTTATAAACAAAAACACGGATCAGAAAAAGCTTTCAAGGATACTGTGGTAAATCGGTCAGTGTAATCTTTACATGGGGGGTCAATTGAAATTACGCTTACAGTCCCTTTAATTTCTTTTTAATTCTGTATTCAAATCTCGTATTAAAAATAATACCTGCTTACTGGAATTCTGTAGTGTTTTATACAAACTTTTTACATTGTATAATCAAAGTTTTAAGAATCTTTCTTCCGTAGAATGGTTTTATGGTTCAATAAAAATGGAAAATCTTAATCTTGAAACTCTGTTGTCGCATTTTGTAAAATCAAACTGACAGACTTTCAGAAATTCAAACTTTCTATTTTCCTCAAACATACAGAAAGGTACGACTTAGAGACCTCGTAGTTCCTTTAGTTTTAATTTTACATACAAGTATGAGAAAATGACCTGCAGGTTACATATAAAATTACAAAATATTCTTTAATAAGATGATTAAAACATCTTTTAAGCAATTTACTTTAGCTTGACATGGTTTAGAGACATTTTTGATAGCTATTTAAATTAAACTTCCTTTATAGTGAACTCCAAATCAGAATCAGAAGCTTAAGGTCCAATTTTTTTTCGCTGAATGAGTTTTCCCGCATTTAAAGTAATTAAGTGTTTTAATGTATACCTTGAAAAGTATGAGATCTGATGAATCTGCTTCAGCTCGATTAGAGGAAATAACACAGGAGGATACAGGACATTTCTCCTTCAAGAATACACCTCTTCCAGGTACTAAACCTAGGATATATGCATATATATATATATATACAGGAGGATACAGGACACTTCTCCTTCAAGAATACACCCCTTCCAGGTATATATATTTATATATATATATATACAGTCAAAACCAGGATAACCCGAAAATAATTGACAATTAACCAGACGACTTTACATATTTATCCTTGGTAATTTTAAACGCACAATAAAGGGAGATCACATTTTGGGATTGGCAGGAGTAGGGTTTTTATTATCGTTTCATTAATCATATTTATAAAGTTATATTGTAAAGTTGTCTGATTAATTATAAATTAATTCCGGATCTTTCTGAATATGACTGTTTATCTATAATTTATGGATATATATTTATGGGTGTGTGTGTGTATTTTTATTAATATATTTAGTGAAAAATTGGTTTAATTACATCTTTTATTTCCAGTCTGTTTTACTTCAACCATCCAATTATATTCTTTGATAACTTATTGCCTTTCTCTACGTTAAGGATATTTTCCAGAACAGAATAAAGACTTTGCAACAAACTCAATTTTTTATATTTCAATTAATATAACATAATGCGTAGTTAGAAATATCAGTTGAGAGATAGATATTAAATTTGTAGCAAAAACTTCATTTCTTTTCAAAACCTCCGATTGTTAAGGAATGGTTGCCCATTCCTACATTATTCGCTACAATCGATAAATTGCAAAATGGTTGAAAATGAAATATTTAACTGATAAATGTAAGCGAGATAATTATTATAATATTAGATAGATGAACATAGGGTTTACATTGAAAACTATGCTTGACTATTTCCCATTTCTGTACAAATATAATCTTTCCTTACAACCCTTCATTGTGCAATCTTGTAGTTTTTTTTATCCTTACCTCCCCAGGACGAGGCTCCGTTCCAGAGCAGTATTTTCTTTAACGGAGTCTCCGTCTCTTCCTGGTTTTCTGGAACGGAGCTTGGCACATACATCAGTTGTTCTAGATAAACATATATTCACAAAATTACAAGATTATGATGCTAAGAAATGTTTGCGATATTTTTGCACATTTTTAAACTTGTAAACAATTAGTAAACAACAGTAAACAATTAGTAAACGTCAGTAAACAATTAGTAAACATCAGTAAACAATTAGTAAACACCAGTAAACAATTAGTAAACATCAGTAAACAATTAGTAAACATCATCAGTAAACAATTAGTAAATATCAGTAAACAATTAGTAAACATCAGTAAACAATTAGTAAACATCAGTAAACAATTAGTAAACATAAGTAAAATTGTTGCGGTTCTAAAATAAATTATTCAGATTCTATATTAAATTTTTACATTAAAACAAGCTTTTAAAACTAAATCTAGGAAAGTTGACGGGTCTGTCTAATCATTATAATAAGAATTGAGCATCGCAAGTGATAAAAATATTAATTTTGAAATACAAAAATCATTAAATAAAACATATATCTTAAAATAATAATTCCTAAATACAACAATCCCTAAACATAACAATTCCTAAATACAACAATCCCTACACATAACAATACCTTAATACAACAATCCCTAAACATAACAATTCCTAAAACAACAATCCCTAAACATAACAATTCCTAATACAGCAATCTCTAAAGATAATGATTCTTAATACAACAATCCCTAAACATAACAATTCCTAATACAACAATCCCTAAACATAACAATTCCTTAATACAACAATCCCTAAACATAACAATTCCTAAATACAAAAATCCCTAAACATAACTATTCTTTAATAAAACAATCGCTAAAGATAACAATTCGTCAATACAACAATCCCTAAACATAACAATTCCTAAATACAACAATCCCTAAGCATAACAATTCCTTAATACAAAAATCTCTAAAGATAACAATTCCTAATACAACAATCCAAAAACATATTAATCCCTGAACATATCAATAACTAAACTTATCAGTGCTTAAACTTATCAATCTCTTAACATACAAATCCCTAAATATTAAAATCCTTTAACATATAAATCCCTAAAAATACCTGGGATTCTATCCTCAAAGGGTAGATTTTCGGGCCAAATAGGTGGATGGATTACATCTAGAATAAGGATTATTAATGGATGGATTACATCTATAATATGAATTATTAATGGATGGATAACATCTAGAATATGGATTATTAATGGATAGATTACATCTAGAATACGGATTATTAATAGATGAATCACATCTAGAATATGAATTATTAATGGATGGATTACATCTAGAATATGAATTATTAATGGATGGATTACATCTAGAATATGAATTATTAATGGATGGATTACATCTAGAATATGAATTATTAATGGATGGATTACATCTAGAATATGAATTATTAATGGATGGATTACATCTAGAATATTATTATTAATGGATGGATTACATCTAGAATATGGATTATTAATTGATGGATCACATCTAGAATATGAATTATTAATGGATGGGTTACATCTAAAATATGGATAATTAATAGATAGATTACATCTAAAATATAGATTATTAATAGATAGATTACATCTAGAATATAGATTATTAATAGATAGATTACAACTATAGATGATTAATGGATAAATGGTACGATGAATAAAAGGATAAATGGTGGAATGAATAAAAGGATGAATGGTAGGATGCATAAAAGGATGAATGGCGGAATGAATAAAAGGATGAATGGTGGAATGCATAAAAGGATGAATGGTGGAATGAAAAAAGGAGAAATGGTGGAATGAATAAAAGAATGATGGAATGAATAAAAGGATGAATGATGGAATGAAGAAAAGGATGAATGGTGGAATGAATAAAAGGATAAATGGTGGAATGAAGGAAAGGATAAATGGTGGAATGAAGGAAAGGATAAATGGTGGAATGAAGGAAAGGATAAATGGTGGAATGAAGGAAAGAACGTGAGGATGAATGGTTGAATAGTATTATTTACCTTCTCCAGGTTTAGTTTTCACAGGCAACAATTCCCCTTTCTTCATATACCAGGCTCTATCCTGTAATAGTAATCCAGGCTTTAAAATCAACCAAGACGGCACAAATGGATTATATATTTACATATACATATTATACATACATATTTATATATATTATATATACATATATATAGCCGAGTATACATATGGTTAACCAGACACACACTTTATTGTAGATTTACCTAGAGCCGTACATACTACATAAATTACATTTGTATACATAAAACATATATATACACGACATACATACACTCATATGTTTCCTATATCCTGATTAGTAATCTAAGCTATGAATGTTTATATATATATATCTGATGGTTCTTCAGAAGTAATACGATCAATAATGTTAATATCAAGATAGCATGATTAATTATGCAGCAAGATCTACATATCTTAATCTACACATTTCTCTTGGACTAGTAAACTCAGAAAATAGAACTAAAAATAGGATTTATGATTTATACAATCTTGTTCTTTTTTCTTGTAAAGAAAAGGAACTAACGAGAAGAAAACAATTTCTTTGTAGATTGTTCAGATTTCTTACAGGTTTAGAGAAACTAGAAAACTTGGTAATCTACTCAGTAAATTTTTTTTATTTAACTCGAGTTCTGTTAACTCATTTTCCAAATTCTCCTAGTTCTCCTAGCTTTCCTAGTTTTCCTAGTTCTCCTAGTTCTCCTAGTTCTCCTAGTTCTCCTAGTTTTCCTAGTTCTCATAGTTCTCATAGGTCTCCTAGTTCTCTTAGTTCTTCTATGTCCCAAGAATGTTCATGAAAGTATGAATGAGACCTGAGTTAAGGAACTGATTAGTGAGTTCTGTAGAATACAGGTTTCTATTCAGTATTAAATAATCAGCTAACAGATTAATATATTAATAACCACATGGACTTATACAAGCTTATTCTTGCCTTCATTCAGTTGTTTGTGTACATTTATTCATTCTTATTTTTCCTTTTCTTATTCCCCTTTTTGCAACATGGTGTAAATATTCCATATTTCTAATTTAGATTATTTCATGTAAACAAATCTTTAGTTTGAAATATCTAAGGTCTACAAATTTGGGGATACAAAGACAAAGGGATAAAAGAATAGAGCTTGGGTCCAGAACTCAACTCCTTGATTTGATTTTTGCCGTTTTTCCTCATTATTCTTGCTTTACATTTATTTCTTCTATTTCAACTTCATTTCTTGCTTAAACTTATCCTTTTCATGTTCGATTTTTCCTTCACTGTACAGCTAGAGTCGAAACTGTGTTTATATTTGCTTTTACAAGTACCCTGTACAGTGTACACATCATGCATGTTAATAATATAGTATTTCCCGTAATATTCCATATCGTTGTATATATTACTAGGCTTACAGAGCGCTGCGCCCCAATCTTCAATTTTAACTTTTAATTGTTGCTCTTTAATCGATTTTTTTCGTGGATTTTAAGAAGTCGATTTTTTTAGTCGTTCAATTCTAACCATTCATAAATCTTCACTAGAATCATCAAATGAGGTTCCATACAAAATTTGGGCCCGATCAGTTGAGACAAGCAAAGTATATATTTAGATGTAATTATGTACCTTCCAAAATCCACTAAACAAAACACAATGAACCATGTTAGAATGTAATGCCTAGTTTAAGTTTAAGTTTGAAAAAAAGTATTTTTTTCACCCGTTTATTTTGTGCACGTTAAAGTCGTCTGTTCTTGGTACTTATTTTTTGTAGCTATCAAATTATCAAAATTTTGTCTTTATTTCAATCTTATTATTTAAGAAATAAACTACATAGAAGATAAAAGTTATCTAGTTTAATACTTTTTAAAAACGTAACTAATACATCTTCACTTTAAGTTAAACTTCAATATGACACAACGGGAAAAGTTTGCGAGGATTTTGAAAAATACTCTTTCAAAAATGATCCTACAAACAAGTGCAATACACAGTTTTTTTGTTTAAGATTGTGGAGTTTTCTAACCTTGTATTCTGGTATATCCATGTCCTCTGGTTTCAGAGGACTCATCCTGTCCAGATGCAGTGGAGGTCGGGTATTCTCTGGAGGATGTTCATCAGGTCCTATATCTATTTTTGGCTGGTCAGCTGGTTCCTCAGGTCGAGGCCGACCTGGAGAAACTTGTTTTTCAGAACTCTCCTCGTCATCTGATAAAGATTCAACACTTCATTTTAAGTTTTTCTTCTATTTTCTACACTTTTTTACATTACCCCCTGGCCTCCCTCCCTCCCCCCGGACCTACTTCCTAAAAGAATTTCTGAGAAAAACAATACAATGAGTCTAAATTGTGTAAAATAATTGAGTTACTCTAGGGAATGAATTGAAAGAAGCAAAAAAGAAAAAAGAAGAAGATAAAACCAACATTTACTCTTGAAATCTTGTACACCGTCCAGGTAAACTTCAAATCTTGTACACCGTCCCAGTAAACTTCAAATCTTGTATACTGTCCCAGTAAACTTGAAATCTTGTACAGGATGTCCCAGTAAACTTAAAATCTTGTACAGGATGTCCCAGTAAACTTCAAATCTTGTACAGGATGTCCCAGTAGACTTCAAATCTTGTACAGGATGTCCCAGTAAACTTCAAATTTCTTACACCGTCCCAATAAACTATAAATCTTGTACAGGATGTCCCAGTAAACTTGAAATCTTGTACACCGTCCCATTAAACTTCAAATCTTGTACACCGTCCCAGTAAACTTCAAATCTTGTACACCGTCCCAGTAAACTTCAAATCTTGTACACCCTCCCAGTAAACTTGAAATCTTGTACAGGATATCCCAGTAAACAACCAAATTGTGTGACGATTTTATGCAAATTGTAAAGGCTGGAAAACTGTATGATGAGCCTGTTACATGTCTGCAAGATGAACAGTGAAGAAGGCAAGGTTGTATAGTAAGGTTAGATACTCTTCAATGTACTAGAAATGTCGTCTTCATAGTATAGGTACTTAAAATCCTCATTTGCCGTAACTGATCATTGGCGGGAAATGAAGTGAAAACGTTACTGGTAAGAGGGGGGAAGAATTTTCTTTTTACAGCTGACAAGCGGAGAAAGTACTTACACACTCACGCCATATGAGGATTTTGAGTGTCCGGATTGCTATGAAGATGACATTTCCAGATACAATGATCGTATTCAGCGTATCTAACCTTACTGTACCACCTTGGAAGAGGGACAACTGTAAATATTTTCTCATTTTTCTACAGAACAACTTAACAGAGTTCAATCAAAGCATATAATTAAATTTATTCTAAACTTCATGGTAAACGAATCATTATAATAATAATTATTCACTTTAATGAAAGTCCCATGGTTAAAGGAAACTTTCCTTGAAATAGATAAATTAAAAACAAGTGAAGTTTAAAAAATCAATAAGAAATTTAAAATATTTAGTTTTACAAAAGATTCAAAGAATTTTTCAATATTCCAAAAATCTAGCTACATTCCATAACCTTTTTTAATGTCGGGTTTTCAAAATAAATAAATTCTTCGGCATATACCACAATTTAACAAAAGAAAATGTATAGATTTTTTTCTGTTAAACATTTTTTAATCTTATTGGTTGCAACAATTTCGAACAGTTTTTAAATCTTATTACGTCAAGTTCTTTTCTGTTGAAGGACTGTAAATTTAATTTGATGCAACAGTTTAAAAAAAAACATTTAAACGTCACGATTTTATAGTTTCTAAAAAAAACTGATTTTAAAATGTTTGAAATTCGTTCTAAGATAAAATATCAATGAAAAACTAAACATTGTCAGAGATGCTAAGCTTTAAGAGAAGCAGCTGAACTGCAAAGACTACATAGACTAACTTGATCCGGCTCACAAGAGAATTTGTCTAACTTTGTCAAACGTAGTTCAACTACTCCTCATTGTTCATAAAATCTAATCCCTGGGTTTGATTGGCTTACTAAAGATTAAATCTGACTCCGGCAGAAATGGTGAAGTGGATTAAAGATATGAGATGTGAGTGTTGAATAACATCATCATCATCATCATCATCATCATCGTCATTATCATCATCATTGACATCATCGTCAACATCATCAACATCATCATCATCATTATTATCATCATCATCATCATCATTAACATCATCGTCAACATCATCAACATCATCATCATCATCATCATCATTATCATCATCATCATTATCATTATTATCATTATTTTATTATCATTCTTATTATTAATATCATTAACATCATCGTCAACATCATCAACATTTTTATAGTTTTTGTCATTATTATTATTATTTTAAAACCTGTGATGTTAAGTAGGAAATACCATTTTTTCAAATTGTATCATCTCATGTCACAGACTTCAGTCTAAAACTAAAATATTTGTTACAAAAGATAAATGTTTATACATTTTTTACATATACAGGGTATGTATTAATTGTTCTAAATGCCATTGCAATTAAAAAAAGATTTACGAAAAAAGATTTGTTTCTACCCCCCTCCCCCCACACATTTTTTTGATTTTATAAAATTTCATGGCTTGAAATAATTAATTCCTCTATTATATTTGTATTCTTGTATTAAAAATACTAAAACACTATTAAGGACAGTTAAACCAAATATGAAAAGATGTATGAATTATATACATAATATATTAATAGGAAAGAAACCGTGTGTAGGAACTCAGGAAATGTAGAAACTGTTTTTAATGTTGTTTTCTATTATTCTCCCAGATTTATGATGCTTAATGAGTAGTTTCCTTGCTCTAATGGAAATCAATAGATTGAGGCTATTAAGAGGGTAAAAATATTATTTTTCTCTTTCAAACTTTTATTGAACAAAATTACAGTAAAATTCTATATATGTGTGATAAAATGTAAACAACCAAAAAATGCTTCTCGCATTGTACTCTCCATTTCATGTTAAATTTAGATTTGACTATTATTTTTCTTGTATTTATTTTTGTGTTTAAATAAAAACTCTTTATTAAAATAATCATACCATGCTTTAAAATTTAGAATATTTGAACATTGTTTTTGATCCCTCTGAACTATTAAAAACAAATACGAGTATTCCTTTCATTTGCCACTTGGTTCCCTCTCCATGTTCAATTTCCATTTTAACTGATTACTCAAACTCTATAATTTTTAATTCCTATAGCTTTGCTACGTTATGTTATAAACCTTTGATTTTAAACTTTCTCTGGATGTGTTCTTTGATTATTAGACAAAACAATGCACATGCAATCAAATATGAAAAAATATTAAATCTTTTCCCTCCAATTAATTTTTGTTACCCTAAAAATATCGTGCAATATTACGTAAAAATGAAGCTTCAGGTGGCAAAAAGTTGATCAAAAGACCTAATTAAGAATTAAAAATCAACAATATTGTTCCGGCTTAAAATCCCCTAATCACAATCTTTTGGGGTGATGGCTATGTCCTCAAAAAAAATAAAATATGACTAGATCATACCAGAAAATGATCAAACAAATGAAACAAAGAATAATGTTTCCGCTCACTGCAAACTACACAGATGGGGAAGGTCAAATTTATCCGACATAACTTGTAGGACTTTGTGACCTCGAAGGTCTTCTATTTTTGATTTTACGCAGAAGTAAAGTTAGTTTCAAATATAAAGAGACATCGAAAGAATTTTTTTAAATGTCGTATTCTTAACTTTCCGATAATGGAATGCTGCAGATGTTTAGTTTTTTACTTGAATGATTATAAATGGAGCTCTTTTAAGCTGTTCCCGCATATTTATGGCTATTTATTTATTTATGGCAATTACTGACATTTACGTATAATATTATAAAACCCATTAAAAAATTGTCAAGACGACATTTCATAAATTCTTTCAAATCTCAAAATCTCCGGGAAACACTGTATGAAAAGGGCAAATTCAAAATAGGAGTTATGATTAAAAACATAAAATTTCAATCTTTACTTTAGTTTGGCGCCGCTGAAATAAGTCCCCCCCCCCTCCAATCTTTAGGAACTGTGTATTAATTATAATAGTATTATCACATGGTAAATATATCTGTTACAATATACTCTATATTATCAGTATTAATTAGAAATGTTTTATTTATACATATTCATTGTTGTATCATTCATACTATGAGAGCTCTTATACGATTAATATCATACAAAGAAAATAAAAACATTTGTATCTTGTAATTTATCTACATTTTCCATTATCCGTACTGTACTGTACTGCCGGCAATATGCTATATATTTGTTTTGATAAAACCCCATAAATAACTGAACACTCCACTATAATTTGATATTTAAACTTAGATAATTCATAGTTTGAAAACAAAGTTTTCTACGAGTATTCGAGTAGAGTGGGTTACTACCAAAAACCCCGAGATTCTAAGCTGTTTAGTCATTAAATAATGGCGGACATTCAGCACATTGTTTAGTAAATCAAATAGATGCAGGGTTTTTGATTCGTGATTTTTACCTATTAACCCTGTAAACTATAAAAAAATTATATTTGTAACTGCTATAACTAGTAATACTATATGTGTAAGCTATATGGAACTGGCAGTTTAAATGTTTGCTTACGGAATGCTTTCTTATCAGCGTATACCAACACAATGATAACACACAAAAAATAAAATTCAAAATATTGAAAAATGACGAATACTCTAAAAGCAAAGAACAACAAGAAATTATCCATCTATACTCTGACTGTCTAGTCTGTATATCTGTGTTACTCAATGTCAGGTTGCAAAGAGATAGGGATTAGAAAAATTTGACTCAAAAGACTCAGTTTCTTTACATACACGTCTCTCGTAAATATATTAAGAAAACGCCTGTAGTGGTTTCTTATTTTAATTATTTTTTAATAATTTGCAGCGGTTTCTTTGAAAAGTATCGTGCTAATAAAGAAAAAAAGGTTGGAAAACTACATTATTTTCTAATGTCTTGTTCAGATTAATGTAGAAAGGGAACCGTTGTGAATCGGAAATGCCTCTCTATAAATGAAAATAAATTGAATTCCGACTCAAGTCCCTTTAAAGATAAGTTTAACCTACCTAGGTTCAAAGTATTTTAAAGATAAGTTTAACCTACCTAGGTCCAAAGTATTTTTCCCAAGTTTTGAAGACGAACAAAAAGACTCGGCTGAAACAAAAACGCTGATATAAATGTTTGGTTAAAAAAAGACATTTTTTCAGACTTAATTAGTCCTAAAATTATTACTACAATTTTGTGCGTACGTTTGTGTTTTTATTTATTTGATATAATGCCTTTTTGCTCATTTGAATAAAAATTCTTTTATTAATAACACTTTCGTAACTATACTCAAAGACTTTAAAAACGGCCTAAACAATCAAGTTTTTCGGCACTTCATTTTGAAATTAAGAATTTAGAATCAACCGAATTTTTTATTAAACATTCCTTTGTAAAGAGCTGGTTTTCACCTGGGCCTGCTTAAATAAGTTTGTAAATTAAAGAAAACAATGAAAATTCCTACATATATACCAAAATACCAGCATTCTATAAAGAAAACCCATTTTTATAATCTGCTTCACAAATTGGTCTTTAAAAATAAACTAAAGAAATAAGTAAATTGTAACACATTTACTTTTACCTTTTTCAATTTCATTTTTTGACGCTGAAAAATCTGAAAATATTCTTTTATTTTATATATACATATTCAATCTCTATTCGGCGAACAGAACAGCTATACGACAATCAAACAAAATGAAAAATTTTAATTTATTTAAAAACATACTTCAGACGGAAATTAACTTATCTGTTAAAATTAATAATTATTATTTTATCTTTTAAATTATAGAAATGCTCTAGCAGCACATATATGTAAATATGTCAATGCCATATTTCTGCTTGTTTTTCTTTTTTCTTTTAAAAGAAATAAAAAAGTTTTTTGGGTTAAAGATCATGGTTTATCATCATTAACATATTTTGATTTAAAAAAAAAGTTTGTGAGATCATTAAAGTTTTGAAATAAATTAAATCCTCCTTCTACTCCTACTCCCTAGATTAGAAATGGAGGTCATTCATATACACAGTACATATTTTTCAGATATAGAGTACACAGTAAATTATCTTTAAGATACAGAGTACACAGTAAATAATCCTTCAGATATAGAGAACACAGTAAATTATCTTTTAGATACAGAGTACACAGTAAATAATCTTTTAGATATAGAGTACACAGTAAATTATCTTTTAGATATAGAGTACACAGTAAATAATCTTTTAGATTTAGAGTACATAGTAAATATTCTTTTAGATTTAGAGTACACAGTAAATAATCTTTCAGATACAGAGTACACAGTATGCATATTCTTTGAGATCTAGAGTGCAGCAGAGTACACAGTACATATTCTTTCAGATATAGAGTACACAGTACATATTCTTTCAGATATAGAGTACATAGTTATAATATTTCAGATATAGAGTACACAGAACATATTTTTTCAGATATAGAGTACACAGTACATATTCTTTCAGATATAGAGTACACAGTACACATCCTTTCCGATATAAAGAGTACACAGTACATATTCTTTCAAAAATAAAGTACACAGTACAGTATAGTACAAAAAGTATATATTCTTTCTGATAGTGTGTACCCAGTAAACTTTCTTTCTGATATAGAGTACACAGTAAATGTTCTTTCCGATATAGAGTACACAGTACATAATCTTTCCGATATAGAGTTCAAAGTACATATTCTTTTGATTATAAAGCAAACAGTAGATATATAATATTAGATAGTACCCGATTTTTTTTCTGGGATTAACAAATATGTAAAGGCTTCCTTTACACCTTCCTTGATGTATACCGTAAAGGTTGTCCACTATAAATTGAGACTTTTTAAAAAGTTTATAAAATAGCAAATCCACCAATATGAAAAATCCGCGATGATCAGCCACCTGTGCCCTGGGAACAAATTGTTGCAGTGTTTTAGAAGATTAAGGACATGAAAGAGGGTGGATGAGAATATTTTTTGGTAGGTTCTACATCCAAAACTACAATACCAATTATATTTCATATTTTCCCCTGAAAGTTAAGGGCCTTATTTGACAAAATATTTTTATACATGCACACAGAGACTGCCTTTGAAGCTAGTGTTTCTCATGAAATTTGCCAAAATCCAATCAACCAGCGTTAATTTAAACCTAAGTGAGTAAAAGCGTTTTTTTCAATTTATAGTGGACACCTTTATGATATATTCAATTATTAAATTGACATAAAAAACTGGAAATATCACAATCACTGTGCATTTATATTTTTATGTACATATATATGTTAATTTCACTATCTTAAAAGAGAAAAAATTTCTTACGTTTTTAAATTTAATTGTTAATAATCTTGATCTTTTAACATTTTTTTCACCCCCCGAACAGCTTTATACCTAATTTGACATATAGCGAAAGTATGCTTCTTCATTAAAAAATCGATTTTTCAGTAAAATTTATCGGTGTTACTTTGTTCAAGTTGATTGAATAAAATTATCTGCACGAAGCGCCAAACAAATTGTATACATTTTTTCTCTTAATGGTAATCATGGGCATGGAGAATGGAGATCAAGTTTCTAAACGGGGATATATATGTCCCCAAGATTCTAGGGGAGGGGCTTACCCCCAATTACGCCCCATATTTACGTCCCTTCCCGTGATTTATTTTTCCCTTTTTCTTTGTCTTACCCCCCCCCCCTTTACTCTTCACGTCCATATCTCTCAGCTTCATCTTTCCTTTTTATCCTTTAAAATGCATTAATTATTCATCCCATCCTGCTTATAAGCTAAGCATCCATAGTTCTTGGAATAAATTATCAAAATTCATCTTTTTTGGAAAAATATTAATTATTTAAAATTCTGCTTAAAGAAATCTAGTGGCTATTCAAAGTTTTTTTCGGTTCGGAAAACTTATTTTCATTGGAAAACAAATTATATTGATTTTCGTTTTATTAAAATTAATCATTTCCACAAAATCAAGCCTAGACATACGATCACGCAATGTATACAAGTGTTGTTACGCATAAAACATATCGTGATATGCACATGTACACAGGGAACTTCACGTCAATTTTATTCTGTGGTGGTTTTTAGTAGACGTATATTTTTGAATTATTTACTCTTTTCCGCGGCCAAAAGCCCGGTTTTCAAAGTATATTGTGACCTGCTTTTATCAATTATTAATCTTTATTTCCAAAAAGAAAAGTCAACATGAAAAATGGAACGCTGGAAACTCTTTTACTGTGGATATCGAGATCCATGCATGATCTTCTAGCTCATTGCTAATCTCCAAATTAAATTAATCTTTATTTAATATCATAAAATGTCTAAAATTCAACCATTCAGAGTGTCGTTTGCAGAAACTGAACAGTCGTTAGAAGAAGCCGGGCAATTTAGCGCGGAACCAATTATCTCCAAAGAATTCTCATTCGTCGGAATCCATCAGGGATATCAAAATTAGGGAGAATTGAGCAGAAAATCAAAAGTGTCCAGAGTGGATATCTAGATTAAGCGATTGGGATTAAGGGTATCCAAAAAAGAGTTTCCAGCTCTGACTGTTTAAATGTTGGTCAGACCTCATTTTATTGATCAAATCCTTCTTGTTTCACTCAATTGGAAACAAGTGAAGATTAACCTCATGTAAGGATTAAATACACAGTTCAGATTAAAGGAGAAGGGAAACGACTTAGTTCTTCAGGAACGAGATTAGCTCGGGTTTCAATGGTTTAAGATTTAAAGCATGCCTTTTGGATTCAAGAGCATATCTTATTAGATGAAAATTCCAATTCAGTTCAAAGGGGAAACAGAAATTTCTGTTCTTGATTGGTAGAATCCCAAATCCTTGGCCAACAAAAGACTAAAGATGGTTAGAAACCGGGGTTAAGAAGGGTTAAATAAACGGATTAGATTAAACCCTTGAGAGGGAACTAAAGATGACCTTCGTTTTTAAAATTGAATTTTTTTTGTAACTTTATGAGGCTTTACAAGAATCCAAGATATTTACTATTTGTAAAAAATGGAATTTTCTAAAAAGTGCTTTTTCAAATTGTTTAACATTTACTTTGACATTTTCTTATCAAATCAATTTATTAAAATGGGGTTAAACCTTAAATATTAAGAAAGGGAAAACAAAGTCCATCTCTGGGGGGGGGGGGGCTAAGATCTGAGAAGGTTGGAGCTTGTTCCGTTTTCTAGAAGTTACTGTCGTCAAGTTATATTGAAAGAAAACTTATTCATATGAAGGAATTGTTGGCAGACATCTTTCTTGTTTCAGGACAGAGTCATGTTTGGCAGATTCAGCTAGGTATAGGTAGAAGCATATTTATATAAATACTAATGTTGAGAGTAATCAAGAGCGTAAAAAAAGTTTTCAGGAATATAATTTAATCTTAAAATAATACCTTTAATTAGTTTAGAATTTTTAAGGAATGTGCACCAATTAGAAAGCGGGAAATTAAAAAGTAAAAATGCAATTTTTAATTTTGATAAATAAATAGTTTCATTTGGTTGTGAATTTATTTTAATGAAATGAAAAGTTCAAATCTTTAAAGAAAACTTATTTTAAGTGATCCTAAGTTTATAAAGTGACGTCCCGATTCACAGCGGTACTTTTCAAACTTTATCTGATCCATTCACAGCGGTACTTTTCAAACTTTATCTGATCGATTCACAGCGGTACTTTTCAAACTATATCTGATCGATCCACAGCGGTACTTTTCAAACTATATCTGATCGATTCACAGCGGTTCTTTTCAAACTTTATCTGATCAATTCACAGCGGTACTTTTCAAACTTTATCTGATCGAGCAACAATAAGTCAGACAACATGGGTTTTCTGTCTAAACAAGAGTTTAATTCTGAAAATGATCTTCCTTTCCTTCAAAAATAAGTTTTAACAGTGAACTACAACTGAAAATAATCAATTTTCAAAGGTAAAAAGAGGGATAACTCGTTTTTTTTTATAAAATTTAAAGGGTACCAGAAATGCTAAAACTGTTAAAAAAAACTGTTTACTATTTATGTGTTTTTTTCCGTGTGATTTAAATTTTTTCTCCGAATAATAAGTTATTCATGATTTCAACCGAAAGGTTGGATTAATAAAAATGTCAACATGAAGTTTATTGTTTAAGTACTCTTCTGCCAACTCCAATGTTTTCAAACTAAATCACTGCAAACAAGTTTAGCATTAAATCTATCAGTAATCTTATTTTGCACACTAGTATTAAAATATCGTATAATAAAATAAGTTTAGTTTGAATGCTGAATCTGTAAGACGGGTTGAGTTGAGTTGTGTGATTGTACCGGAGTCTGAGAAAGAACTGTATATAAACCAGCTGTTATTATTCTTCTACTCAAACCTCCGAACCATCGAGACCAGACTCTAAACCAAACCAAACCAAACCTGAGGCCGTATCCTCACACACACACAAACTCACATTCACGCTCATGCACTTCACACTAGCATGTTTTTATAATTATAAACCCCATTTTCAACGGCCATTTTTAATTTCTGTGAAAAATACCCTTTGTTAACATATCCTAGAATTTTCATTACTAACACTTTTTATCTTAAAAATAATTTTAGAAAAATGTAGCACCCTTATTGCATATTTCTCAACGTTTAGGAGAGCTTTCCGATATAATGAAAATTACGCATTAAATATTTACGTATCTTCAATACCACATTTTTGCGGCCATGTTTATCTACCGACGGGGCCAAACTAAACATCAATGACCGGTAAAATCATAAATGAGAATAAAATTTGGAAACAGTATAATTTTTTATCGCTGATGGGTACAACAGTTGTGTTTTTTTTTACTCCCAAAAAAAAGAGAAATGCCCAAAGAAGAGGAAACATATTTTAGTTTTTCGTAAAAAATAGGTATAATAATGCATCAAACTATATAAATAAAATGGGAATAATAATACATCAAACTATATAAGTAAAATTGGAATAATAATGCATCAAAATATAAAAGTAAAATTGGTATAATAATGCATCAAACTATATAAGTAAAATTGGTATAATAATACATCAAACTATATCAGTAAAATTGGTATAATAATACATCAAACTATTTAAATAAAATTGGTATAATAATGCATCAAATTAAATAAGTAAAATTGGTATAATAATGCATCAAACTATATAAGTAAAATTGGTATAATAATGCATCAAACTNGGGCTGTTAGGACTTCGCCATCTCCCCTCCATGGAAATAAAAAAGTACTTTAATAATGTACAATTGTACACGTACACTATGGTTGCACATATTCGGTAAGATATGTTTTCAAACATGTACCATGTGCTACAGTACAATTTTACTTTAGAACCTGGAGTGGACAATTGCTGTACATTACTGATGCACACAGTACATATGTGTACTGTGTACTGTAGTAAGATTTATTGATATATATTAACTATAGGAAATATGATATCCAACTAGATGTATGGATAGGTGTTTACTGTAAGTATAACGTATAGAATCTGCCAGATTAGAGTTGAATTCAAGTTTCAAGTTACAATTTACAAAGTTTATAGATATCCTTTATTAGAGGTGAAATAAACACATATAGATACATATACAGGGTTACCAACGGCCACAAATTATTATACTTCAGAGCCCAAAACTTAAGACAGGGTATTGTTATGAAAACCGGTTTTGAAACCCGGGTTTCACGAATGGGGTTAGGCAGTTTTGTGGATATCAATATTTTTGTTAAGAAAATTATTTAAATTAGTTTCTTCATATTCTCCATTTTTTTCGAATCTCTCAAATCAAAATCCACACAAATATTAGTCCCCAAAAAGGAAGTTCAGGAGTTTCGTTCAACGATACCCTTTTAAATTTTGTGCTCAGAGCCTGAAATTTAAAAGAGTATCATTGAACGAGACTCCTGAGTTTCCTTTTTGGGGTCTTAACACTTGTGTAGATTTTGTTTTAAGAGATTCGAAAAAAATGGAAAACATAAACAAACTGAATTATATAATATTTCATAACAAAAATATTTATTTTCACAAAACTCCCTAACCCCGTTCATAAAACCCGGGTTTTAGAACTGGTTTTAACAACGATACCCTGTCTTAAGTTTTGGGCTCAGAGACTACTGTACACTGTACAAAATTTATACTGTCCATTTACATATATTTAGGACTCTCTGCAATTGTATATTTTTTTATAAGTTTCATGGGTCGTCTTTACAATCTCATCCTTTTTGGGTAACCATGTATTAAATATTTCTAGATATACAATGAGAACCATAGCGCTGTGGACTAAGAAGATATTGTTTAAGCGATCTTTTGTTGATATGATGTTGTTAAAATGCAAAGGAAGCATAGATGAGCAGAATTCTCAAACGACAAATAGATAAAAACAATGAAGAAGAATGAAACAGACTATTTCTTGTAAAATTTTTTTTAATTTGGGTTTTCAGGATCTTGGGATCCCTGTTCTCAGCCCCCCCCCCCCCTCCAGCTAGAAGGGTCCCGGGGCCCCAAGAGTCCCAAAGTATTTTTTTTACCAATGGGAAATATTGGAATACTGTAATTATTAAAATAATTTTGTACAATTTTGTATTTATCTTTTATAAAAAAAAATAAACTATGTTAAAAAAGATGTTGTCATAAAGCAAATCGTTTTATCATAGCTTGTAAATCAACTTATTAAGCTAAATGGGGATAGCTATCATCATTTTCATATTTTTAGCTTACCCCGCCTAACCAGGCCCAGGTATGGGACGGCTGGGGTGCTTTAACAAAGTTTGCTCAGCTCTTTAAGCATCCTTTTAACTGAAATTTCTTGCAGAAACTGAGAGAGAAACATTTGTTGTTAATTATATATATATATTTAAGATCAACAAATAATATGTAAATAGAGATAATTACGGTAAATTAGTTTTTAAATTTACAGGAAATTACTTATAAAAATGGCCTTTACATGATATTCTAATTCTTCAACTGTGCATCGAACATGTCTAGGTTAACTAGGGCAATATTACAATTTTGATTGATTGATAGGCAGCCCGTCGTCATCATAAAACCTAGATATTAAATCTCAAATTATCATAAAATTAAAAAAACAGTTTTTAAACTTGAAAATAACCTGATTTCTTTGTTAAATGCATGATTTAATGCATATGCCCAGAAAACAAGGGTGAACAGCAGAAATGTGAGAATTAAAAAAACCTGAACATAAAACTAATTAGACAAGGTCAAAACAAGGATATTAAAGCTATTGTCGAAGTAGTTTAAAGTTACCCTCCATTTACAGAGAGGCAGGTCCAATTCAAAATATTTTTTTTCCTACGTGTAAATTTATCATTTTTTTGGTGGGTTAAATATAGGGACTTGTGGATATATTGGCATAAAGTAGGTAGGATAGTCAGATATATTGGCATAAAGTAGGTAGGATATATTAGTCAGATATAACAGTTGAAAGTAGGTAGGATAGTCAGATATAACAGTTGAAAGTAGGTAGGATAGTCAGATATAACAGTTCAAAAGGGTACTCATGTGAATCGGACAGACAACTTTCTAAAAGTCGAAAGTACTTTTTAAATGCGCTCAATAACGTGGNAATTAATGTTCATAACGCTTAAATCTTATTTAATAGATAAAGAACACTTTTCTAAACTAAAAAAAAAATTTTATTTAGACAAAATATAGTTTGATATAAAAGTCGAGGGTTGCACGATTTGTACTAGGTTTAGATTATTTAAAAAGAAAAATCTATTTTACTTGTCCGTAAAAATTAGCTTTCCTAGCCGAAGCGTAGGGATCAATAACCTCCTCGTCATCCTAAAGAATAGTATAGAATATGTAGGTCTTTTTAATAAAATGTTTTCAGATAAAAAAATATTTTGGAAGTATTACAGGAGTAATTATAATTAAAAATCGATTGTAACAATTTTATCCTTTCATTTAATGTTTATAACTTGAGAACATAGACAAAGATAGACACTCAGTCAACTCATCTCACAAAACCTCGATTCCAAGAAGAAGTGGGGTTCATACAGTACATATAACTGCAGGGTCTGCACTGCAGGGTTTTGTTGTAAACTTCGATTTTGGCATTTATTTTTATCATATGTTTAGTAGACATTTTGCCGGCGCACAAATCAATACCAAATTATCTGAGAGATAGATAGATATTTTCCACCTAGAATGTAAACAAAAAAAGAAAGTAAACAATGGAAGCACTGGAAAAATAACTTGTTTTTAAGAATTACAGAGGCGCAACTATAGGGGGGGGGGGCGCCGGGCGGGTGCACTCCCCTAGCACCTGAGAGAGCACAGGAATAAGAAAACCAATAGAGTTATTGTAGAAATTTTATTATACTATTATACTTTAGTTAGTTTAAAAAAAAAAATTTTATCTTTCTCAATTCTCAAGGCTAAAGGCTATTGTAAACATTTATTTGATAACTATTTGATAACTCATATTTGATAACTAACAAGATTTATCTTCTTTGACCGAAGTTCTATAAAATCGAAAATGAATTTAGATTATGAATGTTGGTTAGATCAATCATTAATTCAATAACTTTAAGAGAAAAGGTAACATTATCTGTCCTTTTTCAATGTAGATGATTGAGTTTATTCTTTACCTATGTATTTTTATGTTTTTTTTTCCCAGAAACTATAAATGATTATTTCTTGCAATTTAATCTGTAATTAAACCAGGTACTTAAAAAATACTCTTTTTCGATTCGCACAAATATTCAATGAATTGACTCATATCATTCATTTTATAGCTGTTGGAAGTATAAATTTTGTAAAAACACAAGAACAAAAAATCGATTTGAATTGAACACAGCCAAATCTGCGTGAAACAACTTAAAATTTCCTTTTTTCGACTTCAAACCCTTAAAAAAGCACTTTTGTTTTTGAAAATTTTTTCGAAAAGGGGGGGGGAACCCACCCCTAACCCCCCCACACAGACACCCATAGCAAAAGTCCTAGTTGCGCCTCTGTAAGAATACGTACACAAACAACCCCAATTTTCTAAAACTGTACAGTTTTGCCCAGCTTGCCTGCTGTACATAGTACACTGAATCTCTATCAATATCTACTCTGTACTTGAGATGAAAACCGTTCTACAAGAACCAGGAAACTTTCTGTTTCTGTTTCTTAGCAGGGCAAGAATGTACACTGTATAGTGTACAAAGCGCGAAACTTAAAATAGGGTTTCGTCATGAAACTCAGTATCGGAAACTTAAAACAGGGTCTCTTCATGAAACTCAGTATCGGAAACTTAAAACAGGGTCTCGTCATTAAACTCAGTATTGGAAACTTAAAACAGGGTCTGGTCATGAAACTTAGTATTGGAAACCCTGTTTCATGAATGGAATAGGCTAAGGGAGTTTTGCAGATATTGATATTTTTGTTAAAAAAAAACATATTTTATTTGTTTTCTTTATTTTTTAATTTTTTTTTCTAATTTCTAAATCAAAATCTATAAAAATGCTTATACCCCAAAAGGAAACTCTCGTTTTTTGCTCAGTGTGCACTGTACACTTAATGTGAACACTTGTTAAACGTCTAGATAAAACCTGGGTTTTTAATGCATATATTTCTAGTTCACGGGAAATTGTTTACAGCTTTACAAAAATATAAGAAAAAAATTAGCTTAAAATGTAATTGTAACTTTTCATATTTAATTTGAAAAAAGTATACCTCGGATCCATTAAACATTTTGTTTGCTAGACTTTTAGCACTGGAGAGTCTACCAGAGGGCTCAAATATGTCGTCTTTCATCGGCCTCACTTTTGTGACCCCACCTGAATATTTCAACATCTATTAAAGGGACTGTAGCCGTGGTTTCAAGAGGTCCTTTATTTAACAAGAGGGACATACTCAATTCACAAACCTTTATCCGAACAATAATGTGAAGGATATCGTCGGTTTTATAGCTTGTAAAGTATTTAATTCTGACAAGATCCTTTATTTTCCAGAGAATCCCCAAATCAAAATAGTCATTTTTTTAATTTAAAATCATGGATATAATTTCTATCTTAATCCTATATAACGTTTACAAGGGTACCATTGTGAAATATGTCAAAATGGGTGAACCGATCGGGCCAAAATTTTGTGTGGGACCTCGCGTGACCCCAGGAAAAGGTTCATGAATGATCAAAATTTTAAAAATTTGTGTTTAAAAGTTTTTTTTTTGTAAAATTTTGAAAATGCGCGAAAAAATATTATGAAATCCGCAAACTTTTTTTGTTTTTGATTTATACTGTACAAAGAGAAGATGCTCACTTATAAATCCACATTTAAAAGTTGGAATAGAAGATGTGCGCGAAGCGCCCTAAAAGCCTAGTTCTTTATAATTCTCTCTTTTATTCTATTTTAATGTCTTGGATGAGAATACTGTCTTCAATATATAAATTCTCTATTTTATTCTATTTTAACCTTATGTTTGCAAGAAAACAGATGTTAAATCGTTTAAAGACCTATTTGATTTATTAGTTCGTAAATACATATTTTGAGAAGTTAATTATCTTCCAAACCTCATTTTAAAGAATATATCTAGAATATATCTAGAATATATCTATTTATCTTGTAAACATATTTGCATTTATGGATTAAACAGATTTTAAGAAGAATAGTAAAAATTATTTAATGCAAAGTCCTGGAAATGTTGAAAACCATAATTAAAGGAACTACGGCATTATTTTAACTTTTGTCTATACCCTTGTATTGTAAATTTTTCCAGGAACTCTTTAGATAAAGGGTTATTCGATATTTGGGGGAATTAACCTTTTAAATTTTCCTACTTACTGACAGGTCCTGAGCTCTGAACAATAAGGTTTGTTTTCTCATCCCTGATGATGTTGAGGTTGATGATGGTGTGGATGTGCATAATCAAGATCACGATGTTGAAGGAGTAAATCAACCAAAAATCAATCATTTTGAAGTAGGACGTCTGTTAAAAAAATTGTTTGTTTGTTTGTTGGGTTGTTCATTAAATACGTGCAATTTATGTGTTAGGAAAAAGGGACAACATGTTTATATATATATATCTATATATATATATATGTGTTTTTTCGAGTCCAATAAATTTACTAGTTTTGAAATGTGCAAAGGAATTGAGTCTTTGTCACAAACACAAATTTTCTAATTCCTATATCTTGGCAACCTCATGGTGATATTTCAAACTCAGATTTTGTGATCTAACATAATTTATAGTTTGAAATATCTAAGGTCTGAAACATTAGAATGCGAAAATCAGAGTTTGCGGTAAAGACTTAATTTCCTTTAAACAAATAAATCCGCGAAACACGATTTTCAAAGAAAAATGGATGCTGAAAAATCAACGGTTGCCAGCTAAAAAATCTTAAAAAGACTAGCTCAATGCATAGCGAGAAGTGTTGTTGATCTATGTAGAAGCTGGCAACAATTGTTACACTTTGAATACTTGACCTAGCAGAATTCATCATTTGAAATATCAAAGGTACATAATAAGAAATAAGGATTTTAGTTTGAGGCAAGTTATCAAAAGTTTAAAACTTTAGTATGACGTCAGTAGGTTTTATTTTATAAATCGACTTAAACTAACAAACTTTGAATTTTAATAGGTAGGTTTAAAAACTTTTTGAATTCAATTTACATACATCGTTGGAAACTTTTTCTTCAAAATATTTTCATCGAGTCATGCTTTAATTGAAATTGAAATACAAATTAACTAATATAATAAATACGGGATTCTAGTCTTTCTATCCAGCTAGCATGTAAATATTAAATATTAAATCAAGGGAAGTTGTGAAATAAAAGGGGAAATGTTCTTTGATTTTAAGTTATTATTGTTTTATGACATAGATGGGATAATTTGAAACGTAATTCAACATAAAGAAATTTAGGTTGATTTACTTGTTTCAATTATTAACATTTTTCTTTGTCCTTTTTCGTCACTCCGAAGGAAATTATTTTTAAAATGTTTGTTTGAAAACAAGGAACGAAACAACCCTGACAATTCAATAAATAAAATATTTGAAGATCCATTAAAGTTATTAATTATTTAAAAGTAAAGTGAAGTGCGTTTGGAGGAGGCGCTTGAGTTTGGTAGATATGTTTTGGGCTTAATGAGATCAAAATCAAGGACAACTTTTCCATATATTTTGGAAATAAATTTTAAAAGTAAAAATGGAATAATGTATAATAAATCAAGAACAAAGGAATTGAGTTTTTGCCACAAACTCAAATCTTCTGATCCCAATATCTTTGCAATCTGATGGTTTTAACTTTTGATATTTCAAACTTAGATTATTTTATCTATAAGTATTAATAGTTTGAAATATCTAAGTTCTACCACATTGGGTTACAAAGATATAGAGATTAGAAAATCAGAGTTTGTGGCAAAAACTCTATTCCTTTTTCATATATTTTGGAAATAAATTTAAAAATAAAAATGGAGTAATGTATAATAAAGTCAAGGACAAATTTTTTATATATTTTGGAAATAAATTTTAAAAGTAAAAATGGAATAATGTACAGTTAAATAAAAATTATTTTTAAAAACACCATGAAAAAAAAACTTTACTGATAAAAGTTCTTACCTTTGGTGTAATTCTATCAATTTTTGATTGTATTGTTGAAATAACTAGCATACATGTTATTGATATCATTATTCGATCCTAACAGAATATATGATAAACAAATGAAAGCTGTTAAGACCATTTTGGAAAGACTCTTTGGAGCTATCAGAATATATGTTACATCAAAATCATGGATTTATGCGAGCAGAAAAGTAATCTATTTCTTCACATAAAAACTATAAAGAGGGTATAAATAATTTTTTTAAGGCGTAACAAACTTCTATGATGAATATAGAATCTCTTCTCACTATTAATCAAAATTCAGTAAAAATCAAAAAACACTTTTTAATAAGGTTTTTTTTCAAATATAAACCCTCACCGTAAAATTTGAGAGCCTGAAGAAGAACGTGTAATATGCAACAAGAAGTAAAAAAACTAAACAAACACATTTTTATTTTCAAAATATAGATATTTTTATGTTTTGTTTTATTTTCATAAACCTTTTTATTTCGTTAATCTATTTTCGTTATTCATAATTGTTTTAAAGAATTCATAAGATTTCTTATAATATGCTATAATGGAGAAAAATTAAGGTTTCTAATATTTTTTCATGTCGCGAGTCAACTAAAATATTTAAATTAATTATAAAAAACTAAGGGAAAATATCTAACCTGACTGTAGAAATACGGTAATTAAATGATAAGACCATTTCCGTTGAAATACAATTTGAACCTAAAGGGTGAGCATAGATTTTTCAGGACTCTTGAATATATTCTTATAAAAGCTGAACCACGATGATTAAATCAAGTTTCATTCATAACTTCTTGATTTTAAAGGGACTGTAAATTGGAAAAATTAAATATGAACATGAGAGTTCTATATCTGATGTTCCTGTCCCGAGAAATTGATATAAAACTGTGTCAAATTTATACGAAAATTCGTGTATATAGAATTTTGTATAAAGTTCGTAGGTTTAAACGGATCAAGGTATAATAAGGCAAGAAAAGCTAGTTGAGGTTGCGTATACTCTGCGTACATATTGAAACCAGTTCTCTCTGGGCGGTATTTGTAAACAAGAATAGATGCATCAGTGCTCCTCCAGTATCCGAGGAGGATAAAAGCATTTAATTTTGATAATTCACATGATAGTTTCCTATGACAAGAATATTTCATTGATTTTTTATGTGAAAGATGGATAAGAATATTCCAAAGTCCTGAAAAATTTATGCTCACCTTTTAAATTTAGTTTTTTTCAGTAACTATGCAAATTTTTAAAGATTTGAAGAAAATGCTCTAGTAAAGGAACTGAGTTCTTACGACATACTCGAATTTTCTAATCACTGTATCTTTGCAATCAGATAGTTTTAATCTTTGATTATTTGATCTAACAGAGTAAATAGTTGGAATTACCAAAGCTCTACGACATTGGGTTGCGAAGATATAGAGATTCGAAAATCAGGATGGTTGTAAAAACACAATTCCGTTCTCGACATTTTTGCTAATTTTATAAGTTACCTCCATCATTCCATATTTTTTAGTTGTATTACTCAGATTTTCTATCTTAACATCTCCAACCTTGATAATACAGGGTGTCCCAATAAACATTAGAATTAAATTTATTATAATCACCTACCCTATACTCAAGCAATTCTTTACGACCTGAAAAATAAAAAGCTTATTGTTTCATATAAGTTTAAAGTTTATTAGTTAATAATAAATTAACTGATTCTTAAAATCACAAGTTAATTATTAACTTAAAGGGACCGTTTACTTTTTTTGGGTAATTTGAGGGTAAACTAAATAGACTATAGCTATTCATGGGTATTATTTTTACTTTTCAAAGACAACTGTGGCCTGAGAAAAAGCTGATTTTTCGTTTAAAATTCCAGCACAAAGATATGGTACCTTTGCATTTACACTATTTGATGCTTTTTGTCATAGTCATGGAGTTTTTAAAATTTTCGAATATTAGATTAAATTGTCTTTTTTCAAAATATAATTTATTTTAATCATTTGACGGATTGAAATGTTTTCCCTACTTCCCCAGGAACCCTCGAGTTGGAATCTTGAAACCGATTGGACGAAGAGAGAAGGCCTTTTGTATAAACATTTTACATAATGTTCAAACATGAAAAATGTTAATTTCTTGCTAATTCTAAAATCAAAAGTTTTCATATTTTATTATAAAATGGCTGACACATGATGCAATATTTATCAATTGAATAAGTTAATTGAATAATTAAAGGAACTAAAGGAAAAAGGTACTTAACAATAGAACTAAATTGCTCACCACAAACAATACAGTATACATTTCAAATTCCTATATCTTTGAAATCTGATGGTGTAAACCTTTGATAAGTCAGAGTCAATTTATTACTCTTGACATAACATAACTAAGTTATTGTTTCAAATATATAAAAAGTCTACCATATCAGATTAAAAGAAGAATTTAGAAGAATAGAACTTGAGGGGAGAAATCAGCTTTTTTAAAAATAAGTTTAATTAGTTTCTTAAACAAAACTTTCCTGTATACTCAGCTCCGAGTCCACCTAGGAAATTGTCAATATCCAGAGTTATATATTCCTTCCCAATACCACTCACTAAACACAGGGTTATATATTCCTTCCCAATTAAACTCACTTAACACAGGGTTATATATTCCTTCCTAATTCCACTCACTTAACACAGAGTTATATATTCCTTCCAAATTCCACTCACTAAACACAGGGTTATATATTTCTTCCCAATACCACTCACTAAGCACAGGGTTATATATTCCTTCCCAATTCCACTCACTAAACACAGGGTTATATATTCCTTCCCAATTCTTCTCACTAAACACATGGTTACATATTCCTTCCAAATTCCACTCACTAAACACAGGGTTATATATTCCTTCCCAATACCACTCACTAAACACAGGGTTATATATTCCCAATACCACTCACTAAACACAGGGTTATATATTCCTTCCCAATACCACTCACTAAACACAGGGTTATATATTCCCAATACCACTCACTAAACACAGAGTTATATATTCCTAATACCACTCACTAAACACAGGGATATATATTCCTAATACCACTCACTAAACAGAGGGTTATATATTTCTTCCCAATACCACTCACTTAACACAGGCTTATATATTCCCAATACCACTAATTAAACAAGGGGTTATATATTCCTAATACCACTCATGCTAAACACGGTTATATATTTTTAATACCACTCACTAAACACATGGTTATATATTTCCAATACCACTCAATAAACAAAGGGATATATATTCCTAATACCACTCACTAAACATAGGGTTATATATTCCCAATTCCACTCACTAAACACAGGGTTATATATTCCCAATACCACTCACTAAACACAGGGTTATATATTTCTTCCCAATACCACTCACTTAACACAGGGTTATATATTCCCGATACCATTAATTAAACAAGGGGTTATATATTCCTAATACCACTCACTAAACACAGGGTTATATATTCCCTATACCACTTATTAAACAGAGGGTTATTTATTCCTACTACCACTCATTAAACAAAGTGTTATATATTCCTAATACTACTCATTAAACAAAGGCTTATATATTCCCAATACCACTCATTAAACAAAGGGTTATATATTCCTAATACTACTCATTAAACAAAGGCTTATATATTCCCAATACCACTCATTAAACAAAGGGTTATATGTTCCCAATACCACTCATTAAATATAGGGATACATACATTTCCCACACAATTAAAATCACTAAAGAATTTAGTTTTTGCCACAAACTCTGACTTTCTAATCCCTATGTCTTTACAACTAAAGGTCTTTAATCTTAGATATGGTTACAAAGATTTGGGGGTTACAAAATTTGAGTTTGTGGCAAAGACTCCTTTACCTTCAAATTGAAGTTTACAAATGTTTGAATCGAATGGATACATACTGAAAATACTTGGCGTTATTAAAACTATTTTTAGATTTTCATTAAATAGTCCGACCTGAGTTCAAAATCACAGTTGAATTTAACAAAGTATTCTTTTTTCATAACAATCGGACATTCCTCGCCATTGTACATCTAAACAGATACTAATGCTTTATTTTAAATCTTATCATAATTCATAATTAATTAATCATCAAATATACCCCCCCCCCTCTTTTTTTATTGATAATTTCAAAATTTTCTGTTAGCGGATTTCCTTGGAATTTAACTTAAATTCGTCAAATTTAAAAAGATTATATGGTGGATAAAAAATATCCAATTTCACGAGACAATACTTTAATTCTCTTCTCTTACAGATTTAGTGATAATAAAAGCTTTCCCCGTTTGTGCGTGGGATAAAATGTTGAAAAATCGCAAAAATATCAGAATACCAAATACCAAGTGATCAAAAAAATGTACGCTAAACAGTTATGATAACTATTTTTTCAAAACTATCATACAGTTTTACAATAAAGTTAATTTTAAAGTTTAAGGTATTCTTAAACATATTTTTATGATAAAACGTCTGTAAAATGCAAGCTCTCTCTTTCACGCAATCTATTTTTTCTTCTTTCTCTTCTCTTCTATTTTCTTCTCTTCTCCTTTCTTCTCTTTTTTTTCTTCTATTCTCATTTCTTCTTTCTCTCTTCTATTTTTCTTCTCTTTTTTCTTATCTTTTCTTCTTTTTTTACTCTATTTTTTCTTATTTTTTCTTATTTTTTTCTTATTTTTTTTCTTCACTTTTTCTTATCTTTTCTTCTTTTTTTCGTCTATTTTTCTTCTTTTTTCTTCTCTTCTCTTTTCTTCTCCTCCCTTATCTCTTCTTTGTTTTCTCTTTGTTGTTGACATTTAACAGGTTTTGAGATGAACAATGCAGTACGATCCGTTGCAGTTATGATTTTTCTCTGATTTGTTTACATTTCTAGCTTGTAGACCTAATTGAAACGTATTGCGTTTGTACTCCATATTAGGCATTTGATGTTTTGATATTTTTGGGAAAAATCAAATAAAAAAAAAATAAAAATGACCTTTGCTTCTCTAGCCATGGATAGATCATCTGGTAAACTTGAACCCAGCTTTATTATAAACATTGTAGTACCACTATCCAACACTGTACCTTGGATAGATCATCTGGTAAACTTGAACCCAGCTTTATTATAAACATTGTAGTACCACTATCCAACACTGTACCTTGACCACATTTTCATATAAAGGGACTGTCGGCGTAAGTTCATGGGACCCTCCATTAAAAACGTTCCACAAGGGTACCTTGAGCCCCTGTATCTGATTGGATTTGAATTATCACAAATTCCTTTCTTTTTCTTGTCTCTGGTGCTTAGATCCGCAAGTAGACTTAGTATTGAACTATAATTGAAAATAATCGGGTTTTTTTTTTACAGGGATAAAGATATTTGTTTAAAGATACCATTGTGTATCGAAGGCGTACTTCTTTAAATTGAAAATCACTAGAAATATCGTGGTCCCAGTTTAACTTAATTAAATATAAACATAATTGATAAAAATATACAACAAATGTGATCAATGAAGAGAAAATTTAGTTGTTATTCATAAGATACTTAGATCTTCAGGTAATGTTTTAAATCTTCTAAGCTTTATATTAATGTGGAAATTTTATTTTATTATTATATATATATATATATATATATATATATATATATATATGTACTTGGGAAGAAAAAGATTAATTTAATCTTGAAACCTTCAGCTTGTAATCCATTTGGAAACCCTAATTGTGGAGTCCACATCTAAAAAAAAATTCTTTTTTAATAAAATGTGAAGTTTAAAAACTAAAACATAATTTTTTTATGATATTTTATCAAATAAAAATTAACTCAATCTTGTATATTGAAGAATATATATAGATTCTATTTTGTTTCAGTAAACTTTGGAAGCATAAATTAGAATAAAATATATATTGGTACGGCTTTGGTACCATGATGTAATCTATCTAACACTATCTATCTTTATTCTTTCTTTCAAACATGATTTATTACTTAGGATTTTGTAATCTGTAACTGCTATAAGTTATTTATTTATTTTTTAAAGATGTATGAGTTGCAAAGGAATTAGGTCCTTGGTACATCCTTTGATATTATCTTTGCAACCCAATGTTGTAGACCTTATAATTAAAACTAGGAATTCTGTTAGATCAAAAAATCTAAGATTAAAATATTAAATGTTTTCACCATTTTGTTGCATTATTTACAGAGCTATAGAGATTAGAAAACTTGAGTTTGTAGCAAAGCATAATTCCGTCAGAATCCGTAGAAACTTTTCTATTTAAAGGAACGAGGAAGATAACAATTATTCCATTGTTTTTTTGCTACCACTGTACAAATGTAATCGGTATAAATCGCTCATAATTCATAATTCTATTTTCCTATCTGAATATTCTGTAATTACTAACCTTTTCTATCTGAATAATCTATAATTACCGACCTTTTCCTATCTAAATTATATATAATTACCCACCTTGTCCTATCCAAATAATCTGTAATTACCAACCTTTTCCTATCTGAATAATCTGTAATTACCAACCTTTTCCTATCTGAATAATCTGTAATTACCAACCTTTTCCTATCTGAATAATCTGTAATTACCGACCTTTTCCTATCTGAATAATCTGTAATTACCAACCTTTTCTATCTGAATAATCAGTAATTACCAACCTTCCCCTCACGGGCAGCCGTAGTACATTTGAATTTCCGAGCCGAGTCACCTTTCCGGTCCCAGTCTGTACTGTACCTAGCTCTATGGAGAGGACTAGCCGGTGCAACAAGGTTGACGCGGTCAGACTTTATGCTTCATATAGGTTGAATTTACCTTTACCAAAGGGGCAGATTTGCGTGCCCTATCCAAATAATCTGTATTTACCAAACTTTTCCAATCTGAATAATCTGTATTTACCAACCTCTTCCTATCTGAATAATCTGTAATTTCCAATCTTTTCCTATCCAAATAATCTGTATTTACCAAACTTTTCCAATCTGAATAATCTGTATTTACCAACCTCTTTCTATCTGAATAATCTGTAATTTCCAATCTTTTCCTATCTGAATAATCTGTATTTACCAAACTTTTCCAATCTGAATAATCTGTAATTACCAACCTCTTCCTATCTGAATAATCTGTATTTACCAACCTCTTCCTATCTGAATAATCTGTATTTACCAAACTTTTCCAATCTGAATAATCTGTAATTACCAACCTCTTCCTATCTGAATAATCTGTATTTACCAACCTCTTCCTATCTGAATAATCTGTATTTACCAACCTCTTCCTATCTGAATAATCTGTAATTTCCAATCTTTTCCTATCTGAATAATCTGTATTTACCAACCTCTTCCTATCTGAATAATCAGTATTTACCAACCTTTTCCTATCTGAATAATCTGCATTTACCAACCTTTTCCTACCTGAATAATCTGTATTTACCAACCTCTTCCTATCTGAATAATCTGTATTTACCAACCTCTTCCTATCTGAATAATCTGTAATTACCAACCTCTTCCTATCTGAATAATCTATAATTACCAACCTTCTCCATTATATTCATCGGTAGAGCATTTAAATCATAAAGTTGTTTTAGGTTCCGATAGTTAAGCCTAGGATCATTCCATCTCATTGATAATACAAAATCAACCAAATAGTTCAACTCTAAAAAAGGACAAATTGTAACAACATATTTTTTCATTTTCGTAAAATTTAGAAAATCCACGAAAAATATTAAAAATCATCCGCAAAGTTTTTTATTATTGTTTTATTAAAAATGCTGAAAGATTGAGCAACAATTAAATGTTGAAATAGAAGATGGGTGCATAGTTTAGTAATAGAAAATTTAAAGAAATAAAAATATAAGTATTTTTTAAAATTTATTTGAAAAGAGGTGTTTGTTTTAATAAAACAGTTTGCAACAAATATTAAATATCTTTTTTGAGAGCGAGAACGATTAAAAGATTTGCTGCGTTCAGAGGAAAGACAAACTATGATTTCTACAGATCATGCAATGTTGTGCAGGGTTATATCAAATGTTATAGACTGTGGGCTATGTGGGCCGAGATTTGAGTGATCTGCGTTTTAAACTCTAAAATATTATCGATTTTGATTTGTAAAAGTTTCAGATATTCACAAATTGAGGTCAAAACTTCTAAATATCATCTAATTAACCTTCTGCAACGACGAAGTCTCATAAGTATATTTTTAATTAAGATGACAATTATTTTTAATAAATTAAGTCTTTGCCTTAAACTCTGATTTATAGTCCCTATATCTTTGCAACCCAATATCGTATACCTAAGATGTATCAAACTATGAATTCTCTTAAATCAAATAAGTTTAAAATATCAAAGGTGTACACCATCAAGATGCAATGATATTGGGGTCAGAATATTCTAGTTTGTTGCAAAGACTCAATTCCTTTGCACGGATCAAAATGAAATCTATATTTTACCTAAGGTGTTAACTTCAGGGAAAGCTATGATTGAAATATTTACATAAAGTTTAATTGGTTCTCTAGACTGCTGTACAGGAAACTTCTCTCCTCTAAATAGAGTAAACAAAAGTTTGGTTTTGTTTTTTAGTTTTTTTAGTTTTAAAATCTCCTAAATTAATCAGTCCTCAGAGTGTACAAAGAAATAAAAACCTTTAATTTGGAGAAAACATTTGTTGCGTGATAATTATTTACAGATTTTTCAATTTATTTATAGATAGATAGATAGACAGACACAAAATATATATAAGGTTGTAAAGGGGTTTATTGAAAGGATCATAATAATGGTGTACAATTTAACACTACTATTTATGCAATCTAATGACTTTAAATTATATGCACATAAATAATATAATATGGAATTGTGTTATATCAATTGGCCAAAGTTTGAAATATCAATGGTTTACACCATCAGGTTGCAAGGATAAAGGGATAAGGAAATTTCAATTTTTTAAACAGTGGATTAGAGAAAATGACTTTATTAGAGTTTGAGGCAAAGGGTTCACTTCCTGTCAGAAATAAAAAAATAAAAAAACCTGTATTCTTCCGGTATAAGCAATAGATCACAGTTTTCCTCATCCGTCCTTTAAATAATTCCAATACTTTTGACAACAATTCAATTCATATAATCATTTAAAAATTTTTGTTTTGATGTTTTTCTAAATGTTTTAATAGTAATGGGGGGGGGGGGGTAAACCTGTCTGGGCAGTCCACAACAAGGTTACAAAGAGCATCAATTGGTATACAGGTTCCATCCCTACATAATTTATAGATACTAGTTACTAGATATTAGAGCCATGGATGGATATAGTTCAAATTGTTTGTACGTTGTTGTAACACATTGGATACTGATATGATACATATTTACATTGGATAATGGATATTTGGTTATTTAATGTATTGGATACATATTTTGCGATAGATAATTAGATTTGGATACAGAAATGAATACTGAGCTTGCAATTTTTAATTGTATTTTACATTTTCTTTGAAGTTTAGTTTCCCTGCACATATTAAGTTTAGCAACTCAATTTCCGATACAGGGTGTCCCAATAAACATGGGAATTCAGTGACGAATTCGATATCGTCTTTTTAAATAACTCTTTGATTTAGTATAGTGATACCTACTGAGAAAGCTGTAATCTGTAAGAGTTTCGTCTGCTATGCTCACATTTTGTTTGTTTATGTTTTGACTGCATACAGTTGTAGACTAGTTAGTAAAACAAGAAAATTGCAGTATAAAAACAGAGTAAACTTGCGGACACGGTATAGACACATCTTTACAGTCGTTTGACTTTTTATAAAATAAACTCTAGCAGACATAATGGTATTATGGCTTTTGAAATCAGGTATTAAAATGCTAATTCATAACAAGGACGATATCGAATTCGTCACTGAATTTCCATGTTTTTTGGGGCACCCTGTATCCAAAAATAATCCTATTTATGGACGCATATTTAACATTGTAAAATAGATATTTGGTAAAAAATCGTATACTAGAAACAAATGAATATTTACCTGCAAGTAAAATCTGTTTTGCTTCCATCATTCATTATACAATTTGTTAAAGATAAGAGGTGCTCCTCACCACCTAGACACATAATAATAGAGGTGCTCCTCACCACCTAGACACATAATAATAGAGGTGCTCCTCACCACCTAGACACATAATAATAGAGGTGCTCCTCACCACCTAGACACATAATAATAGAGGTGCTCCTCACCACCTAGACACATAATAATGACATCTATGTAAATTAAGTTCACAAGTTATGTTCAATGACGAACGTCTTAAATACGAATATTTCTTTCAGGATGCAACAAACAACTGTTTATTGTTGTACATTGTACAATGTACATTATCTAGTATTATGATAAAACAAAAGTACTTGATTTAATCAAAATTTTAGGGACAAATGATGGAGTTATCCCGTTTTTTTATTGATTTTGGTTTAGCTGTAAGAGTGACTTGCGCACATATGCAACAGGGGTGAAAGAAATAAAATGTGAGAATAACGTCTCAGTCCTCTTAAATTAGTTTTCTTGTTTACTCTCCAAACTACCTGACTTTGCACAGATTCCAGAATTAATGCTCCAAAGATTTCGTCCTAAGTATCATAGAAAACAATAACAAACAAAAATATGTAAATTCATTTATTAAACAAATCCTATATCACTGAGATTAATGTAATTTGGACATTTTTAGATGAGAGAGATGTGAGGTTGAATGTTTTATCGAATTAGTAGGTTTAATAGTTGTCACGAACAAAATACTCATTTTAACTTTATAATTTATAATTATGATTTTTTTTATTTTGTTGAGAAATTTTATTTTCAATCTTCAAGTAAAAAGAAACTGAGTTTCTGTCACAAACTAGAATATTTTACAACCAAATCAGTAAACCTTTGATATTTCATACATAGAATATTCGATTTAATAGAATATGTTACCATATATATGGAAGATAATGATAAGAAAATATTTGAGTTTGTTGCAAGAACTCATTTCCTTTCCTTGAATTCCTTTTGTGTAAGTAAAAAATTCCATTTTCTTGCTGTGTTCTTGATATTCCTGTAGGATAGTAGGTGTAAGGAGTAGTATCATCAGCAGCAAAAGTAGCAAACTTCGTCACATCATACAAACTTTCTAGATATGCACGCAATGAACATATTTAAAATAATCAAGTTTTGAACTAGGGTAACAATAAATGAACTTGAATACATTATAGAAAGGTATTATTGTTCAATAAATGTTCAATAAAACGGTTTAAAGGGAGTGACCGGCTATGTAAGGTAGTTGAACTGAGTATGCAGTGTTGTGGATAACTTCTTTCGGGTTCATTTGAGACATATAAAACCATTAAAAGATCTGTAAATCCTGAGTTTGAGCGCAAATTCGACGTCTAAAACTCCTATATTGGGAGTGGATACATTTTCAGAATTATTTTTTTTTTTAATTATTAAATAACGACGACATAAAATATAAAAAAGTTCCACAATCAACTACATACGTCGTGTATAGGAACATGTTGAGAAAATCGAATTAATCTTATCTTCGAAAATAAGTAATCTTGTTCAATTAATTATTAGTTTCTATTTCCTCATTATTCTGGTTTCTCATTATTCACAAAGATTTTCTCCTAGATAATCGATTTTAGCATTGATTTATTGACAAATTTCTTTTGAGAAATATGTTCCTAACCATCTAGTTAGATTACTGTATAAGTTTTACTTTATTTTTTTGTCGATATTTTATAATTAAAAAAAAAACTATTCCTGAAAACGTATCCACCCCCAAAGTAGGAGTTTTGAACGTCAAATTTGCGCACAAACTCAGGATTTACAGTCTTTAAAAAGTTTTATATGTCTCAAATGAATCCGAAAGAAGTTTTCCACAACACTGCATACTCAGTTCAACTACCTTACATAGCCGGTCACTCCCTTTAATAATAGAGAAGTTTAAATATTTATTTATTTAGTTTTTATCTAATTTTACCAAGAACCAGAATACACTTGTTGTTTTACCATATTACAATTTACAAATAACTTTTTCAATTATTAAAAATTACATGTTATATATTATAATTACATGTTCTATCTAATCGGGAAAATATTTATGATATCTTTTTTCTTTGGTAAAACTTTTTCTGGATTAGTTTTGATGACTTTGCTCTTTCTTGGGTCCAAAGAAAAGTTTAAAACAGAAATGGAAATTTATAAAAAATTAAATGTTTAACCGATGAAATACAGAAAGCTATTTTAAAAAACAATTTTCACAATATTTTATTACATACACAGTTCTGTACTGTACATCTTCTCTCTCATTAAACTTATCTGCAATCCCTACCCTCCATCCTCTCTTTCATTAAACTTATCTGCAATCCCTACCCTCCATCCTCTCTCTCATTTATCTGCAATCCCTACCCTCCATCCTCTCTCTCATTCAACGTATCTGCAATCCCTTCCCTCCATCCTCTCTCTCATTTATCTTATCTGCAATCCCTACCCTCCATCCTCTCTCTCATTAAACTTATCTGCAATCCCTACCCTCCATCCTCTCTCTCATTCAACGTATCTGCAATCCCTACCCTCCATCCTCTCGACTCATTCAACAAAACTGACCTAACTTCCATTTTACAATTTCAGGAGAGAAGAATATATGAGATTTCCCTCGGCCCCGCCAAACAGGTCTGAATTGAACACAAAATATAAAAAAAATAAAAGAATAAAACTTAATAAAGCAAGTACACAAGTTTAGAGGCACACAAGTTAATATGTACAAAAAATTATGAGAATGCCCAAAACAAAAGTAGAAAGAAAACTTTAAAGAATACTTGTTTAGGAGAATTAAAATTTAGTTTTAAATAAACATAAGTCTAGAAAACCAAAAGTTAAAAAGTGAAATAATTTTTATGCACAAGAGTTTAGAAATACAAAGTTTATATTTCCGAAAGTTTTGAATTGTACAAAGTTTAGGTGTACAAAAGTTTAGAAATATGAAAGTTTAGAAGCACTTTATTTAGAAGTACGAAAGTTTCGGAGTACAAACGTTTAGAAGTCACAAGTTTTAACATTTAAAATTATAAAAAAAGAACAAGCGCAAAAAAGCGTGAAATCATGTAAGTAAAAAGTAGAAAAAGGTAGAAAAAAAACAATTTACTATTTTAAAAAAATCTTACTTTCCATTTCTGAATCCAGATAGGAAATATTCCGTGTCAAAAAAGCCTAAACAATGTGAATATTTATAAAATTCTTTATAAAATTATATTTTCTCCAACCTTCCATTAGGTTTGTTTCTGATGTGCAGAGTCCTCGTATTGTTAAATTCATCCCTGAACACAACAACAACAAATTTTAATCAATAATTTAAAAAATGTCATGTTTTGTTTGCATAGGCCAGGTGGCAAAACTAACTTTTAGCGAAACTAAAGTTTAATTTTTTCAATTATTAATATCTTTAAATACGTATGTAAACAAGAGTTTTTAATTTAACTGTAATATTTTTTAATGGATTGGGTAAGATTTTTTTTCTGATTTTTTTACTATTATACCTTGGGGGAAATGGCAGAGTGCACAGTTTCCTTCCGAACAATCGGAACCAACCCACTTCCGGTCAATGTATGTACTGAATTATGAATTGTCTATTGTACACTATACACTGTAATAATGGTTACCGTACAGTGGTAAGCGATCATATCAATACAATAAAGACGACATTTTGTTTAAGTTTTAATTGTTAACAAGCTTTTTTCAAATTACAATTTTGCAAGTAATCAACGAGATGCATTTTTAATTGACAGTTTCTCTTGACTTCTATGTTTATATGTGTCTTGATATAAATCAAATTGAAATCAAAAGCCGTCTTTATTGTATTGATATAATCGCCTACCACTGTATGCAACCTGAATTTTGCTTCCTGAATTCGCAAATATATACGGATCCACTGATCCGATGGAAGGAACAGAATATTAGCTAAAACATGCTAAACCCCTGTTGCTCTTAAAATACAAATCTCAACTTTAAACTATAATGAGAGATTGATAAAAACTTTCTAACTCTGACTGGTTTATTAAGTTCTAACTTAAAAAAAGAAAAGAAAAAAGAAGAACAATACTTGGCAAAAGTGGAAAAGTTATAAAGATTAGAACTGTTAAAATAAAGTTCAAGATACATTTGTTGACATAAAAAAATTATATTAAAATACCTAGCACAGCTCTCGGTTACGGGTTGAACTCCTCCCTCCCACAATCCATCGAATGGAATAGCGTCTAAATCATAAATAAATTAATATATATAAATGTTCATCATCCTCTCCCCCCTCTATCAAAATCCAGCGAATGGAAGAGCGTCTAAATCATAAATAAATTAATAATTAATTATATTCATCACCTCCCCCCCCCCATAATCCATCGAATGGAAGAGTGTCTAAACCATAAATAAATTAATGATTAAATATGTTCATCACCCCCTATCATAATCCAGCAAATGGAAGAGCGTCTAAATCATAAATAAATTAATACATAAATATGTTCATCACCTCCCCCCCCCCATAATCCAGCGAATGGAAAAGTGTCTAAATCATAAATAAATTGATACATAAATATCTTCATTATTCCCCTCCATAATCCATCGAATGGAAGAGTGCCTAAACCATAAATAAATTAATAAGTAATTATGTTCATCCCCACCCCATAATTCAACGAATGGAAGAGCGTCTAAATCCTAAATAAATTAATAATCAATTAATTATATTCATCTCCCCCCCATAATCCATCGAATGGAAGAGTGTCTAATTGTGTTTATCACCCCCTTCCGCATAATCCATCGAATGGAAGAGCGTCTAAACGATAAATAAATTAATAATTAATTAGTTCATCACCTCCCCCCCCCATAATCCATGGAATGGAAGAGTGTCTAAACCATAAATAAATTAATGATTAAATATGTTCATCACCCCCTATCATAATCCAGCGAATGGAAGAGTGTCTAAATCATAAATAAATTAATACATAAATATGTTCATCACCTCCCCCCCCCCACATAATCCACCGAATGGCAGAGCGTCTAAACCATAAATAAATTAATAATTAATTTGTTCACCACGTCACGTGCAGATTTAACGGTTCTGTCAATATTCCAGAAAGGTGTGGCTTTCGATCACAATTTGACCCATTACACACAACTTTTTAGTCTTTTTTCTTAAATACTTTTTGTCGGCATATACATTTTGAATGAAAAAGTATAAAATAAACAAATCCGTATAGTAAATGATTATTGAATTAAAAACCAAAACACGTTTGATTTCAAATTGAAGAAACCGAATGCTGCTCACTCTGGTTAGTCCGGTGTGACGTGTACCCCCCTATCATCATCGATCGAATGGAATATATAGAGAGTTATTAAATAAATAAATAACAATTACCCACAATGGAAAAGACTTCAGAGACAACTGCACTGAATTTTTGTATTCTTTATATCATACTTAAAGATCCCCAGCAGCTGTAAATTAGTTTTTCTTTGAAAATAATTAAAATTTTATTGGAAGACCATTTTGAGGGCAAAACCACCTAGTTCAATCTTCAGAATTGTCATATTTCAGGTCTCATTCTTTTTGGGTAACCCCATGTTTTACATGATTTGTAAACTGAATTTAAGATTATACCCTTTGTATACGGATTTATCCAGGTTCCATCTCCATAGCTATCTGTATACCCGATCCAGTACAGCAGACTACCTGGAAACATGTTTCTAGAGATAAAAATAGGAAATTAAGACAATTAATATATCTTTAAATTTTAGGTGTCCCTGCATTAGTAGATAATAATAAAACTGGAGCTTATATTTAATTTATATTTAGTTGGTCGTAATTGAAAAATTTACGTAAGATTTTTTAATCATAAATCCTCTTATTGAAGAGATATTGGGAAGAATAGAAATGTTTTAAATGCCGAGTCTGTAACCGGTTAAAGGAACTGAGTTTTTGTCACAAACTCTACTTTTCCAATCTTTATATCTTTGCTACACAATGTCGTAGACTTCTGATATTTCAAAATATGAATTCTGTTAGACCAAATAATCTAAGTTTGAAATATCAAAGTTTTACATCATCAGATTGTAAAGATATAGGGATTAGACAATTTGAGTTTGTGACAAAAACTCATTTCCTTTGCTTTTCTTACACTTATACATAATATGAAAAAATAGATGAGCAAGGAGGTCACAAAATCTTGATAGCCAGACGTTTCACCTTCTTCTCTTGGCGGCAAATTCTTGATTTTACAGTTCTGGTAACTGGCTGAAACTAACGTATTTTATGTTGGAGTAGGGTTTGACGAAACTTGCATATTAAAAAAAAAAAAAAAAATCAATTTAAACATCCGACCCTATGTCAAATAATGTTAAAAATTTGATATGTACTGTATACATCATACACATGTACAGTGTACAGTGGTTGATGTAAACAAACACACATGTCCAGTTTTTCAATAATTGTCATGGAGGAACCTTGCTGTTTTGTTTTTGGGAAACGCGGAAAAAATATTCTCCAGGATGGAGACTTTTTCAAGTTCTTCATGTAATACAAGTTCATGAATCCGTTGTTGTTCCCTTCTGGAAAAAACACAAGTTTCATCAAGGAAAATCAGGAAAACTGCTCGAGTATTTTGAGAACACTTACATTGGAAAGGAAACCAAAAGCTTCAGAAAACCCCCGATGTTTCCTTTAGAAATTTGGAATGTCTGTGATGAAATTTTGAATAATGAACCAACCACAAACAACCAAACTGAACGATGGTTTAGAAGTTTCACAGCTGACCATCCTGGAATACAGACTGCTGGGAAGTCCTTTTTAGGTCTTAGAAGAGAAGACACATTGGCTAAACTACTTTTCAAAGAGCTCAAAGACAAGACCTACATTGATCCGAAGGCAGCTCAATCGGCAAGAATTCTCGAAAGAAATAAACGATTTAAACAAATTGTAAATTCTTTTGATGTATCCAATACAAATTATCTTATGGAAATAATAAATAATTAATTTTTTTGTCAAATTATTAGTGTTCTTCATTACTGTAATTTTAAGTTCATTTCGTATCAACACTAATATTGAAGAAATTATGTTGTATTAAAAAAGCAGCCCTGACTGCAGTTTCAGTAATTTGCCGCCAAGACAAGAAGGTGAAACGTCCGGCTACCAAAATCTTGCCAGTTATATCCCATACTTTTAGTATCTGTTTTTATTTAATCTTGGAAAACATGTCAACTAATGTGAGACAATTTCGTTTTCCTTCTTATATATTGACAATTGTGACGTGGTTTATAATTGGTCCATTTCTCTGTTTCCTCCTATTGTACTTGATAATCTATTTGGGATCTATGCAGTTTTATGTGCACGTATTTTAGCGTTAAAAGGACTTTAAGCGTAACTTCAAGTGACCATCAATGCAAAGACAACAAAGCCTGATTTATAACAGAACCCTTGAAACCTTGATCTGATCAATATATTGAAAGATATTGTCGTTTTTCTAACTCAAAAAGGGTTTAATTCTGCTTTTTACACGCAATAAATGCGCAAGTCACTTTCATAGTGAAACCACAAAGGAAAATAAAAAGTTTGAAGAAACAAAAACATGCATATGCTGGGAATCAGAGGTTGCCATCTTTGCATGGAGGGTCACTTACAAGTATGGTTACGGTCCCTTAAAAGCTATAAGTAATCTTAAATCTGTACCTGAAGAATGAACACATTTCTCATGAATGTCCTGAACCAGGCCTTCAGCTATATCCATCTAACAATCAAAACTTATCGTTATAAATTGAATTTTCTTTTTTTCTAAAAAAGTTTCAATTTCATTATTTTGTTTATTTCCATAATAATACATTTGATGTGCGTAATCATTATAAAACTAAGGTTTACTTCATTCAACAACCTACAGATCACAATTCAACAGCAAACAAATTGCATACGTATATTAGCAAAGTGTACATTTCAAATTGCATACGTATATTAGCAAAGTGTACATTTCAAATTGCATACGTATAGTAGCAAAGTGTACATTTCAAATTGCATACGTATAGTAGCAAAGTGTACATTTCAAATTGCATAAGTATAGTAGCAAAGTGTACATTTCAAATTGCATACGTATAGTAGCAAAGTGTACATTTCAAATTGCATACGTATTGTAGCAAAGTGTACATTTCAAATTGCATATGTATAGTAGCAAAGTGTACATTTCAAATTGCATACGTATAGTAGCAAAGTGTACATTTCAAATTGCATATGTATAGTAGCAAAGTGTACATTTCAAATTGCATACGTATAGTAGCAAAGTGTACATTTCAAATTGCATACGTATAGTAGCAAAGTGTATATTTCAAATTGCATACGTATATTATCAAAGTGTACATTTCAAATTGCATACGTATATTATCAAAGTGTACATTTCAAATTGCATACGTATAGTAGCAAAGTGTACATTTCAAATTGCATACGTATAGTAGCAAAGTGTACATTTCAAATTGCATACGTATATTAGCAAAGTGTACATTTCAAATTGCATACGTATAGTAGCAAAGTGTACATTTCAAATTGCATACGTATAGTAGCAAAGTGTACATTTCAAAATGCATACGTATATTAGCAAAGTGTACATTTCAAATTGCATACGTATATTAGCAAAGTGTACATTTCAAATTGCATACGTATAGTAGCAAAGTGTACATTTCAAATTGCATATGTATAGTAGCAAAGTGTACATTTCAAATTGCATACGTATAGTAGCAAAGTGTACATTTCAAATTGCATACGTATAGTAACAAAGTGTACATTTCAAATTGCATACGTATAGTAGCAAAGTGAATATTTCCTAAATGTTGAAAGGCTAAGTTTCTTTAAATTTTGTCTTCTTATGACTGATAAGTGCAATTAAAAATTTCAAACTCATTTAATAATACTCTTTAAAAATTTTAAATCTTAAGTTTTTAATTGGTTTTGGGCTCAATTTTTTTTGAAATACTCCATGGAATGGGTTCAAATTCGGGAAGCCAAATCTTTTGGGCCTGGGACACAATAGTTTGAAATGATATAAAAAATAAGAATTTTTTGGCATTTTTCTTCGATACAAACTCTGGTTTCGGTGGATATTTATTTGAAGACTAAAATCTGTAAGATCTCAAGACTTAGCAAAACAAATAAAGATCCTATTGTCTCTAGAAAACCAAAATTCACATTTAGATAATCTAAACTAGCAAAAAATAATTTGTGTTAAAACATGTATATTCGTACTTCTAAATAGGAAAACCCAATGAAGTAATGAAATATGAAGATCGATGTGTATGTGCGGATATAAAAATAATATATTGTGCGCATACATAATGATATTCAAATAGTGTATATTTTTTTGCGATTTAAAAACATATGAAGGCTTTATAATTTACCAAACATTTTTGTTTTGTTTTTTATTTTATGCAAGTTCAGGAGAGGAAAATGCGAAACTGTGTTTATCATCCAGACCTAACACTGGTTGTCAGATCTCGTCAAAATCATGGTTTCGAACTTTTCCCCCTGCAGTTAGGGATTGATTGTTCTCACTTTTTGAAAAACTATCGTTTTGTTTTATAAACGAATTTTTTTTTTAGTTTTACTTCGTCGTTTTGTTGAAGAAGAGTAGGTCGTTCCTAATTTTTGACGATTGTTAGCGACCTTTTTTAGACAAAATACATTTTTAGGTCGGAAAACCCTTAGATCAGAAAAACCTTAGAAAACATTCAGGTAATTTTTCTCAACACGCAAAAACATATCTTCCTAAAAAATATTGCATTTAATTGTCATAAAGGTCAACGGGAAACCGTACCGTTTTTTGTTTTTCTTTTTTTAAAAGTTCAAAACGAGTTGTTCGTTCATTGTGATCTTTCGTTTTTAAAAAACGATTAACAAACCTACTTGCAGTCAGAAATCAAATCATAAAGGCCAGCTAGGATTAAAAAGTATTTGCAAATACTTAATTTAATAAAAAGTCTTGTTTCCTGATTATTGTATTCATCTTCAGATTCAGGCACAGATAAGCCACCCCCCATATTATAACACCAGGCCTATAAACATAAAAATGTAACAATATATTATAACACCAGGCCTATAAACATAAAAATGTAACAATATATTAAAACACCAGGCCTATATAAACATAACAGTATAACAATATATTATAACACCAGGCCTATATAAACATAACAGGATAACAATATATTATAACATCAGGCCTATATAAACATAAAAGGATAACAATATATTATAACACCAGGCCTATATAAACATAACAGGATAACAATATATTGTAACACCAGGCCTATATAAACATAACAGGATAACAATATATTATAACACCAGGCCTATATAAACATAACAGGATAACAATATATTATAACACCAGGCCTATTTCAACATAACAGGATAACAATATATTATAACACCAGGCATAGATATAAACATAACAGGATAACAATATATTATAACACCAGGCCTATATAAACATAACAGTGTAACTATATATTATAACCAGGCCTACATAAACATTACAGGATAACAAAATATTATAACACCAGGCCTATACAAACATAACAGGATAACAATATATTATAACACCAGGCCTATATAAACATAACAGTACAACAATATATTATAACACCAGGCCAATATAAACATAACAGTGTAACAATATATTATAACACCAGGCCTACATAAACATAACAGTAAAACAATATATTATAACACCAGGCCTATATAAACATAACAGTATAACAATATATTATAACACCAGGCCTGCATTAACATAACAGTAAAACAATATATTATAACACCAGGCCTAGATATAAACATAACAGTATAAACAATATATTATAACACCAGGCCTACATACACATAACAGTATAACAATATATTATAACACCTGGCCTAGATATAAACAACAGTATAGCAATATATTGTAACACCAGGCCAGATATAGACATAACAGTATAACAAAATATTATAACACCAGGCCTAGATATAAACATAACAGGATAAAAATATATTATAACACCAGGCCTATATATTAACAACAGTATAGCAATATATTATAACACCAGGCCTAGATATAAACATAACAGGATAACAATATATTATAATACCAGGCCTAGATATAAACATAACAGGATAACAATATATTATAACACCAGGCATAGATATAAACATAACAGGATAACAATATAGTATAACACCAGGCATCTCAAGTACAGCAGTATAACAAGATAATGATGTAGGACTGAAAAGATTACAAAAAACCTCCCAAATCCTTGATATTAGGTCGTCTAATCGTTCATGTGATGATGAGTCAGCTCTTCTTGTAAAAGAATTACTTTAGCTAATTTGTATCTATTTTAAATAAGTTCCACAGACTAAAAATTATTTTGAAACAAACGAGATCCTATTAATTTGTTTTGTTATATTTTGTAACTATGTAGCTTGAGAACCCGGCGTTGCCCCACCGTTTACCCGCGCTTGGTAGTAAATTACGACTTTAGCTATTGTTTCCTAAAATTATGGTCCCACTCAACTTAGAGTATAAAATTCCCGTGGTTCTCCCGAGTTCCCCAATCGGACATCCAAACAAAACAAACTGAGATTACTACTTTATATATTAAGATGTATAATGTATACTGTTGTTTCCTTATAGAATGGATAAGACCAAGCATCATTAAATAGAAAATATTTTGAACGCGCTGAATTCTGATCCCCGCACAATTCAAACAGTGGAACCGTCTCAACCTAAACAGATAAATTCATTTATTATAATTATTAAAAATGTATTGTCTGAACCTATCAGGCCAACATTTTTTGGGGGACCTCACATGACCCAGAAAAGTTATAAAATATGGCCGCTAGGTGTCCCTGTTTCAAAATTATGCTTAATAAATGATAAGTTTGTTTTTTACATTATGCTACATTTTTACTCCGACTATGAAGACAATAACCAAAGAGATTTTTTAAAACGAACAACAAAGCCGTTTTGTTCAATCGTTTTGTTCAATCGTTTTGAATAGTCGTTTTGAAAAATCATTTTGTTCAATCGTTTGATTAATATCTTTTGTATAAACTGATAAAAGCAAACTTATCAAGTATAAAAGTCTAAAACAGGATAAACAGGGAGCGCTGCCGCTTTTAAAGTTAATTTATCTTGAATGTTTTAAAACAGACCTTAAGACGACGCCTATCCCTTAAGCCTATAACTTATGAATCATTGTTGTGATTGTGTATAGACCTACCGAGGCATGTTCATTAGAGATGATAAAACTATTTGTTTTTGATGCCACTACATTACCCCAAGCATCAGAGCGACATTCTAAAATAAAAACGGAAAAATTAAAATTAAATTTTTTTAAAATTCTGAATCCTTACCTGCCAGTGTTTCTATTTCATAATCTTGAAGAGCATAGTTCCAGATGTTAAACTGAGATATTAAACCAGAAAAAGATTGTCGACTAAATATAAGAAAAGATTGTCGACTAAATATAAGAAAAAGATTGTCGATTAAATATAAGAAAAAGATTGTCGACTAAAAAAAGATTGTCGACTAAATATAAGAAAAGATTGTCGACTAAATATAAGAAAAGATTGTCGACAAAATATAAGAAAAGATTGTCGACTAAATATAAGAAAAAGATTGTCGACTAAATATAAGAAAAAGAATGTCGACTAAATATAAGAAAAGATTGTCGACTAAATATAAGAAAAAGAATGTCGACTAAATATAAGAAAAAGATTGTCGACTAAATACAAGAAAAAGATTGTCGACTAAATATAAGAAAATATTTTTCAACAAAAAATCTTAATTTTGACATTATCGGCATAAAAAAGTAAATTAAATTATTGTTTTTAAAAAAAAACAAATAGTTTATAAATAATTATTTTTGAATACTTTTTTAGTGCTTAGATAAAATAAAAACTCGACTACAGACTAAAAATTTTAAATTGACAACTGAGAATAAACTAAAATTTAAAAATTTATTTATTTTGTCGACTGAAGATTTAAATTTTAAAAGTGTCAATTGAAATAAATTTTTTAAGTTTTAAACTGAAAACAAATATTGTCGAAATTTTAAATTGTCAAGCATACAGAAATATTTCAACAATTGTCAAAAACAATTTTAAAATTTAAAAACTAAGATAAAAGATTCTCAGAATGTGAATCAATTTTGGAAATTTTGCTTGGAAAAGAAATATTTTTGGATTAATTTGACCAACCCTTAATATCAAAAAATATTATAAAAAAAACATTTTTGAAAAACGACAATATCTTAATAATATTTAAGTCTGATTATTTAAAAAAAAGAATTATATGACCTCTCAAATCCTCCTCCCATGTTGTCCTGGTCCTGACCAAGTATTAGCACACCATCAGGATTTACGGCCTGAAATATTACAAGTTGGAGCAAATTAGAAACTAATAGATCTGGAACGGAATTGAGTCTTTGCCACAAAATCAAATCTTTGAAACCTGAAAATGTAAACCTTTGATATTTCAAACTTAGATCATTTGATTTAACCAAATCAATAGTTTGAAATATCTAAGGCCTACGATTTTGGGTTGCTGAGATATAGCGATTAGAAAATCAGAGTTTGTGGCAAAGACTCAATTCCTTTATTTGGATTCACAGAACTAACTAAAGTAATTACACAATCTAAACTTCAGGAAGATATGTTCAAAATACAATCTGTAATTCATATTTCTAAAAATGATTTGTGGATATAATAAGACTTTTAAAATATAATTAACTAGCTGGAGTGTCCGGTGTTGCCCGGGTTTATGTTTTTATTCATAATTACTCTCGCCGTTTCAAATGTGTGTTAAAATCACCACATTTTATCCGTGTCCCGTCAAAAAATATCAGCCTTTTGGTCCAGCCATGTTGCCTAAAAGAATTAAGTTTTTGCAACAAACTCAAATTTTCTAATCCCTATATCCGCGCAATCTGATGGCGTGAACCTTTGATATTTCTTCAAAATTAGAATGTTAAATTTAACAGAATTAATAGGTTGTAATATCAAAGATCTGCGACATATGGGTTGCACAGAAATAGAGGTTTAAAAATCATAGTTTGTGACAAAGACTCAGTTCTTTTGCAAGCTATATAAATATAGGAGCGAAGAGTTTTACACATATATATATTCTTGCTTCTTTTACGATAACAGACCACATTTGGGAAAGTTGAAAGTTGTACTGTACTAACTTTGTTTTGTTTGATTTTGAGATTACAATAATCTTAAAATTGGTATCTACATCCATGTTTACATAAATTCTTACATTAGGGTTCTCTGACCAGGAGCCTGAGTTGACCTTCTCCCCATCTGCAAATACCTTAAACTGATCCTTAGGCAGGTCATACACTAAACCTAGACAATTGGAACTTAGTTTCATGAACTTATTCTTAGGCAGGTCATACACTAAACCTAGACAATTGGAACTTAGTTTCATAAACTTATTCTTAGGTAGGATATACACTAAACCTAGACAATTGGAACTTAGTTTCATGAACTTATCATTAGGCAGGTCATACACTAAACCTAGACAATTGGAACCAAGTTTCATAAACTTATTCTCAGGCAGGTCATGCACTAAACCTAGGCAATTGGAACTTAGTTTCGTAAACTTATCCTTAGGCAGGTCATACACTAAACCTAGACAATTGGAACTATAGTTTCATAAACTTAACCTTAGGTATGATATATACACTAAACCTAGACAGTTGGAACTTAGTTTCATGAACTTATTCTTAGGCAGGTCATACACTAAACTTAGACCATTGGAACTTAGTTTCGTAAACTTATCCTTAGGCAGGTCATACACTAAACCTAGATAATTGGAACTTAGTTTTGTAAACTTATTCTTAGACAGATCATACATTAAACCTAGACAGTTAGAACTTAGTTTCTTAAACTTATTTATAGGCAGGTAATACACTAAACCTAGACAATTGGAACTTAGTTTCATAAACTTATTCTTAGGCAGGTCATACACTAAACCTAGACAAGTTTCATAAACTTAACCTTAGGCAGGTCATACACTAAACCTAGACAATTGGAACTTAGTTTCATAAACTTATTCTTAGGCAGGTCATAAACTAAACCTAGACAAGTTTCATAAACTTAACCTTAGGCAGGTCATTCACTAAACCTAGACAATTAGAACTTAGTTTCTTAAACTTATTTATAGGCAGGTAATACACTAAACCTAGACAATTGGAACTAAAATTTTGAATATAAAAATTTACAGAACCAGATTGCAAAGATATAGGATTTAGAAAACTTGAGTTTGAGTCTTTCTTTTATGTCAGTGTGTCATAAAAGTCACTTCAACTTACCTTTTCAGTCACTTTAAAAACTAACTTTAGAGAAAGCAGAATTCATTTGGGTTGCATAGCGTTTAGGCAATTTCAAATCCTTCTGCAGACTAGTTTTAAATATTAAATGCCAAATCCACAATTAATTTTCCTTGTGATCAATGATCATGATTCTTAACCTTTTATCTTTAACTGATTGGTTGAAATTTTTGTTTTAAAATCTTCTAATTGCAACATCTTACAATTTATATAGAAATGAAATGATTATATTATCAAGGTGTATTTGGAATTTTTGCATAAAAGATTCTGTTATCTGTTTACATAAATGTCTCCAGGTGTAGAAAGGAGGCATGAATCTATCCCATCCACAGTAAACAGTCCCTTTCTTACAAGCTCTAGGAAAGGTTAAAAAGTGTTTTATGTTTTTTATTATTATTTGTTTCTGTTACAATGTTTTTTTTTTCAAAATTTTTGGTTAAATAAAGGATAACAAATAAAGTTAAGATTTTTCTGAAAGCTAATGAAAATTGAGTCTGAGATTAAATTTTCAAGATTCCGTAAAATTTTTTTCTAGTGAAATGATATGAATAGTTCTGACGTCGTCGAATATCTTAAGACAATGAAGACGACATTTAATTTCAACTTTGATTTCTACCAAGCTTTTAAACACATAAACATACAATGATACAGATAAATATTAAAATAAAGAGAAAATGCCAATTAATGCAGCTTCACTTTTCTTACTTGTAAACTGGTGAAAAAAAAATAGAAAGTCGTCTGCGAACGTATTAATATCAACTCCGACTACTGTAAAATGTGAGTTTTAGATAAAATATAGTCTTCTGACTAACTCATCAAGGGGGTTCGATAATATTGTAAGATTTCTTTACATTAAAGCGTTAAACTGAGTCAGTTTCTTGCGTCAGAATTAAAACTATTCGACCTGAACCCTCTTCTCCCTAGGTGATATTCAGAATAGAGGTCATTGGAGTTCTCATCCGAGGACGCATAAGTAAATACATACATTCGAGGCCGCTCATAGTGGATCTAAATATTAGAGGTCTTCCTTAATGGAACTAATTATTAGAGGTCGTTGTAACAGATCTATATATTTGAGGTATCTCATAATAAATTTTAATATTCGAGGCCGCTCATAATTGATTTTAATATTCGAGGTCCGTAATAGATGTAAGTATTTGAGGCTAGTCATAGTGGATCTAAGTATGTGAGTTTACAAAAATTCATCAAATAATTGATCATGAAGAAATACAAACAGAAAACAGAAATACAAAAAACAAGAATCATAAATACATGAAACACACATTAATGGAATACAACAAATATAAAAGGAATACAGCATACAAGTAAAACATAATAGAACAAAACTAAATTAGTATTTACCTGTATTCTATGGGAAACAATAAATGAATACGAGGAATACATAATAGGACAAAACTAAATTATTACTCTACCTGTATTCTATGGGAAACATTGAATAAATACAAGGAATACATAATAGGACAAAACTAAATTATTACTCTACCTGTATTCTATGGAAAACATTAAATGAATACAAGGAATACATAATAGGACAAAACTAAATTATTAATCTACCTGTATTCTATGGGAAACATTAAATAAATACAAGGAATACATAATAGGACAAAACTAAATTATTACTCTACCTGTATTCTATGGCAGACCGTGAATGAATACAAGGGTTCAGGAATAGTTCCATTAAACCTTGCGTAGGATTTATCAGAAGAATATCCCTGAATAAAGAGATTTAAATCGGAAATTGAAATTGAGTACTTACCACAAAGTCAAGTTATATCTGTGCAACCTTTAGATTATTTATTCTAACAAAATTCATATTTTAAAATATCTAAAGTCAACGACCTTGGGTTGAAAAGATATAGGGATTGAAAAAAACAAAGTTTGTGGCAACGGCTCAATCCCTTTAATATCTGAATGGAGTAATAATATACAAGATTACTAAAATTGCAAATGATTTCAACTGATTAGCCATTTTAAATTGTTAAGTTCTGATCACGTTTTTAACTTAAGATAACATTAGAAGGGTATTTTCTATTATGATTTTTGGCAACATTATTCATTATTGAAACTTATAAAACCTGTTAAAAGAACCCACCTTGGTTTGAAACTTATAGACAGGGATTTTGGTNGATACATTGCTTCTCCTGGATAAGCAGAGAGTAGGATTAAAATGGTATGATAATATCCTGTAACAGGGTTGGATACAAAAAGTTGCTTTAAATCAAACTGATCAGATACATTGCTCCTCCTGGATAAGCAAAGAGTAGGATTAAAATAATATGATAATATCCTAACTCAGGGTTGGATACAAGAAGTTGCTTTAAATCAAACTGATCAGATACATTGCTTCTCCTGGAAAGGGTAGGATTGAAATGATATGATATCATTCTTGATCAGGGATAGGGCGTTATTTGCCATAGCCCGCATAGAACAAGCGACGCTGTTTTAGAGTCTGAAAACGACCCGCACGACCCCAAAAACGGGCGCCGGCCCGACTCT